ACTTTTGTGTTGCCATTTAATTGGGTGGCATTTTGTGCCATATAATGAGAGCATATGGTGATACGTAAGAAAAAGGGCGCAACACCAAAGATGTATGTCACTGTAAAAAAATTCAAACTCTTGTCTTCTGGGTATGTAACTCGAATGTACTCTGCGTAGAATTTATAGCACTATTCTAGCTCTATAAGATTGTAAATCTTTATAATTCAACGAAAACATGATGTCGGGCTCAATTAAAAAAGGGAGGGTAGAATTATCGTATGATGTAGGTTAAGTTCATATCAGGATGCATCGACGCAGATATCGTAAGTAGCCGAATGCGTAATCGCTACAAATTGGCAAGTATTGATTTCGGCGAGTCACATACACCTACAACAGTAAGTACCTTCGTGCAATTGCCAACTCTCTTATCCTCTCTAAACCGACAAATAGATTTGGCCCAGATCCTGTAACAGGTGTTCGTGTATTACTATCACAAATCTCTCTTTGTGCGCGTTTAAGTACTGTTTGATGCTTTCACACAGTGTGTTGTCAGCTTCCGCCAAATTGTACCTTCAATGGCAACTATTTTTGCTATGTTATAAGATAAGCCAATGTTGCTGAATAGAGTAATCAAAGATGTGATGCAATGCGAGTAAATAGTAAAGGGATACCGAAGATGAAGTAAAGTGGGAATGAAAAGAAGAATGCAGCACATGATTAGAAAATCAAAAAATGCTGTATGTATCAAAAAAGCAAATTTGGCTCACGAAAGGAATAATAAAGGAGTATGCCTTAAGGCATATCCCAGAAAGAAATACTGCAACATCGATACAAAACATATACTGGCATAAACACATGCTTCGAATCGCATTAGATATCATTCATGTGGTGTTTGGTATGTATACCAATGTCGTATTATAGTAAAATATAACGATTATTCTTGCGGGTAAAGGATGTCGAATCGTCCATTTAAATATTTGCTTTACACGATATAAGATATCGTTGACACACGAAAACCGTTGCATAATAATTTTTTGAAGCGAGGACCACTCTTCTATTTCTGCGCAGAGAGACCGTCTTTGTCAAGATATAGCATAATAAAGTTTCATTATATTATACAACAAGTTCGAGTCTTCCCGAGAAGCCCGGCGCACCTACGCATGTATGAATAATGTTCTTGACTGCAAAAAAGAAATATCTATGCAGAATAAATTGATTCAAAGGTAAGCATCCAGATCAACGCCATTATCCTATTAATTATCAAAAGCTAATTTTGTGTCCATTCCATCCGCATTGCGTGCACCATGACGCGCTTCATAGTTCTTTTGTCCGCATAGATCAATATGATCACCTGCAATAGCATAAAATGGTAATGACAAGCTATAATATATTATTTTATCTTGTTGCGTGGTAGATGCTTCCTTAATCCCTCACGCAATCCTGTCAACATCTTCTACAGCATTTCCTACGCGCCATTTAGACACTGCATTGCCCCGCCCGTCTATATTCAGCGGTGCCTTCAAGCGATAGCTTCACATCACGACAATGCCAAACTGTAAGATGTGAAAAATCGACAGAAGCAACATGGATTTACGATTAAATATTGAACAGCACCTATAGGTGAAAGCTCAAGGCGCCAGCGCACCTTATCCTTTTTGCAGAATGACTTTCGACGGATATAGGTGAGAAGGTACCGATGTTAATACTAAACGAGAAATCACCGGGATACATCTGGGTAAATACTACGAATGAGGTTTGCTTGAAGTAGGTGTTACAGTATATCGTTTCACCGACCCCGTTGGCCGAGTAGATAAGTACTGGCTCAGGGACTGGGAGGTATGTGGATCGAAACCCGCGCAGCGGCGGTACGATTACACATCGCCGGAGAGTGGCTAACAAAGCCGGATATAGTGGGTCGTACGCGCACCCGAATATACCATAAACCTTCTCTCTCTAGTATACATCGTTTTTGCCTTTTCTAATTTTTACAGATCTCGTGATCTATTTTCTACATTCATGAATTATTTGGTGCATATTTTATCTGTCCGTTCAATGAGCACCCATTCATGTGACTTGGTACCTCCGTCACGAAACGAACGGCAGATGCGAAGTGGCGGATCTTGGATCAGTTGATGCCATAGCATATGGTTTATACATTCGTGCAGCTGTCATACATATGTCAATCCAGTTAAGCTCTACTGACTCGCATATTCCAGATCGCGTTCCGTCAGCGCACCCTGTCGATAAGAAGCAATTTAGCAGCATACAAAAAAGGAAAGAAAAACCAATTTGGCACTCACCTGCATTCCAGCAGTTTATGGGAAAACGTATCACCGTTGGCCCCTTCTGTCATCATCGACTGACTTACCCATCAGGACAGAGTGGTGCTCGAGGATCATCGTAGGGACACATATAGGCAAATCAATGAAAGCGAACAGACACGGATGGCCAATCGAGCGGACATAGCTAAAAGCGGACCTACAAACAGTTGCGTGGGGCACCCTGCACTTGCCCCGGTCTCAAAGTGATACTATTATCCCCTGATCTTGCGATCGATCACTCGCACAGCTCAACGCCGCATGTCGAATAGAACGACTAAAGATTGGCACGATGTTTGAACTTGCGCCAATAACCTAGACGCGCAGATGTGATCAGTCCATCATCAAGAGCCTTAGGAAGCAAGCCTTTGTTTGTAAACGAGAGAGCTACAATCCTAGTGTTATAGTTGTATATCGAGCTAAGGCGACGGCGAAGATCGATAATGGCAACGCGCGAGGCCAAGGCAGGTTGGGATTACACATAGCAATGAGCTCAGGGCTTAGCATACCCAGAAATAATATCTTGTGAGGTACCTTGCGGTACCTCAGCATCCGTTTGGTGCCACGTAAAACTAGAATAAAAGTTGCACAAAGTCACTAGTCGAGGACGCGTGCAAGCCATGGATCATTCGCTCTGAGTCTGTGCGTGCGCCATACCACTTCGTGACAATAGCGTGGGTCCTGGACCGGTGGATATATGTTTATCGGTGAACACAGCAATTAGTGGTGTATGTGTAAGCAGAAGGGTCCAAAGTGTGTCTTTATTCAGAAAGATCAACGGGGTAGACGAGTTATCGAAGAAACGTGCGATGCCGACCATTGGTTGACACATGATCGCAAAGATATGACAAACACGAGCTTGGAAACCAAAATGCAGCCACGATCGGTATTTACAGAAGCAGCGGTAGTTTCCATGCTTCATGACGGCGTCTCTACGCAAAGAAGAGCATCGAAAAGTGGCGTTCACCACGAACGATGTCATGGCTTATGCATGCGTCGAGACACTCGACCGCAACTCCATAGAGTCACCAGTGGGGTATCCTGTATCTAGCTTGCACCGCCGATTCCTCGTACACTTTCGGTGGCCGTGTGGCCGCGCACGAACGCCGACGGTAGGCGTTCCCTAAGGTTACTCGCCTTGGCCGACGGCTCTTGGCAGCGTCTGACTAGTCCCCTTCGACATGACGCTAACTGCGCACCTCGTGCTGTCGTGTCGACCTGCCTGTGCTTTTGCACGCTGTAGCTTAAAGTGGTCTCATGGCTGCACGACGATCATAGCGTCCGCATGTCGGGACGCAAAGCGATTGCTGATGCAAGCACCGCTCCGTGTATGTCACAGTTGCTCGTTTCCATTTGAGATTCGGTCACGTCGTCCAAGTGATGCAGACGTAGCTGCGCGTTGCTTGACCACATCACTGGAAAGTCCACTGGTGCCAGTTGGCGTGCAGTAAGTGCAAGAAGTCTTGCAGTCGTTCTATTTGTCCCTCCTCTCGTGATAGCTAAGCTTCTGTCAGCAATTCTGTACACACGGACATCTCTCGACAACGAGTTCCATCATCGCCCTCGCTTGACGGCAGCACTGCAGCTTTCTCTCTTGATACTACTAGTACGAGACAATCAAAGTCCAATGGTGTGCTAGCTACGCTCAAGGCTTTCGAGGCACGGCATGTAAACGTCGACGCTTGTCGTCCCATTGTGTGTTCATCCACAAGTCGCTTCTCGTTCGAAATCGTTGAACTGCCCCTCGTCCCCGTCCCCCGTTCGACGGACACGAGGAGATCGAGCCAGAAACGTGGACGACCGCAACGCGCGACGCCACCAGCGGGTTGCGCCACGACAAAGGGGCCACTCGTCCCCATTGCAGTGTGCGACGTCGCTTTGCATCGCTTGATGAGGAATCCCACTGCCGACACGCGGCACGTGCGGCCATGCGCGAACGGATGGCATTCACTGCATCAGGAGCAATCGACAGCGACACTCAAAGTGGTGCACGACCCGACAGCTCTGGACAGAGTCGTCGCAGGTCACCGTTTTGGATCGCGCACGAGGAGATAGGCAAACGCACACACGCACGTGTGCAGAACGCCACTTGCTGTACGTCAATCACAGTCGCGTCATGACAAGAGAGAGAGGCAGGAAGAGATAGAGGCAGGAAGAGATAGACGCCAAGAGGCAGTACGCCATGACCGCTCTAGTCGATGCACGCACGCAGAGGTCACCGCATGGTCTTTGTGCCGATCCCTCCCGCTTCCTGTCCCCGTTGCGGCCGACTGCTTCGACGTGGCCAACGCAGGGCCCGCCTATTTCACGCGCGTAGCTTCTTCTACTGGCCCCACGGCGACGCAGCAAGTCGCGCGCGACTACTGTCGAGGGACCTCAACCAGCGGCAGCACAGCTGCTGCTCCCCGACGATCGGAGCTGTGCTTGCGACTACCGCCGGGCACCCACTGAAACACCTTCGGCAGACCACCTTCGCCGTCGCATGCCACGAAAAACGTGTGGGCAGCAACAGCGGCTCGACGACCGCGGGCGATCACTTCCTGGCCGCGTGACCTGCGCGCGCGCAGAGGCTACAGAACCGACCGGCGCGTTCGTCACGTGTCGTTGCTCACTCTTTGATTTGCACGCGTGTCGTCGGCCATACCGCCACATCGACACACATCCACATCCACACGCGGACGCACTTGTCAACTCGCGACAATGGTGTGCTACGACCCCGACGTCGACCGGCGACCGCGCGCGACGTACCGGTCGCCGTCGGTCTTGACGAAACCACCGCCACCAGCGTCACCTGACCTGGAAAAGCCGCACGCCGCACGCTCAAAGAGGCGGCCGAAGGCGTCGCGCGAGATCGTCCCGGGGCCGACCACGGCCTCGTCCCTCTCCTCGTCCTTCTGCCTCGAGACGTCGTTCCACATGGACCGCGAGTCGCACGCGCTGTCGTCGTCGTCGTCGCTCTTGCGCGACCTCGCGGCCAATCTCATCGGCCGCAACGCGCCCTTTGCGTCGCCCTTTGGCCGCAAAGCGCAGGTCTATGCCGACTACACGGCCAGCGGCAAGTCCCTCGCGTGCATTGAGCGCTTCCTCCGTCGCCACGTCATGCCGACGTACGGCAACACGCACACGACGACGTCCGTCACGGGGCTCCAGACCACGTCGTTCCGCGACGAGGCGCGGCAGATCATCGCGCACGCCGTGAACGCCCACGACGCGACGGACGTCGTGCTCTTTGCCGGCCAGGGCTGCACGAGTGCGATCCATAAGCTCGTGACGGCCTTAGGCGTCCACGACGGCCGCCGCCGGCGCCGCGCGGCCAAACGGCCCGTGGTCTTCACCTGTCCCTTTGCCCACCACTCGAACCTCTTGCCCTGGCGCGAGAGCCCGTGCGCCGACGAGGTGCCGATCCCCGAAGCCGCGCACGGCGGCGGCTTGGACCTCGTCGAGCTCGAGCGGCAGCTGCAACGGCACCAGCACCGGCCGCTGAAGATCGGGTCGTTCGCCGCGGCGTCGAACCTCACGGGCCTCTTGCTCGACGTCGACCGCGTGTCAAAGCTCCTGCACAAGTACAATGCGCTCGCGTGTTGGGACTACGCCACGTGCGCGCCGTACGTGCCCATGGACATGAACCCCAAGCACGACCCCGCGGCCTACAAGGACGCGATCTTCTTCTCGGGCCACAAGTTCGTCGGCGGCCCGGGCTCGCCCGGCGTCCTCGTGGTCAAGAAAGCGGTCGTGTCGCGAGCCGCTGTGCCGACGATGCCGGGCGGCGGGACGGTCCTCTTCGTCTCGGAGAAGGCCCATCGGTACTTGAAAGACCCGGTCGAGCGCGAAGAGGGCGGGACGCCCGACATCCTCGGCGCCATCCGCTTGGGCCTCGCGTTTCAGCTCAAGCAGCGCGTGGGGCCGCGGCGGATTCTGGCGCTCGAGCGGCGCCACGTGCGGCGCGTGCGCGCGTCGCTCGGCCGGAACGCGCACATTGTGCTGCTCGGGCGCCAGACGGACGACGTCGACCAGCTCCCGATCTTCTCCATGCTCTTCCGCTTCCACGACCGCTTCTTGCACCACAACTTTGTCTGCGCGCTGCTGAACGACCTCTTTGGCGTGCAGGCGCGCGGCGGGTGCCAGTGCGCCGGTCCGTTCGGCGCGCGGCTGCTCGGGCTCCGTCGGCACCACATTCTCGACATCGGCCGCGCTGTCCTGGACAAGCACGAGATTCTGAAGCCCGGCGTCGCGCGCCTGAGCTTCCCGTACTTTGCCGACGCGGCCGAAGTCGACTACGTGCTGGCCGCCGTGCACTTTGTGGCCGACCACGGGTGGAAGTTCCTCCCGCAGTACCGCTTCAGCTGTCGCACGGGCGGGTGGCGCCACGCGTCGAGGGCCGACGTGGCGCTGCCCGACAAGAAGCACTTGTCGGAGATGCAGATCGAAGACGCAACGACTGCTGCGACTGCGTCTGGTGGGGCAAATCCCATTGCGGACGTGGCGGCGCACCGGCGACTGAACCTCGAGCAGGCGGCCAAGTGGGGCGACCTCTCGATCGAAGAGGCGGCCAAGTCGGTCTTTAGGGAACCGGGCGAGCGCGTGGCCGACTGCTACGAAGGACTGCGGTGGTTTGCCTACCCGAGCGAAGCGGTCGCGTCGTTTCAAGATCGAGGGGCAAAGCCGCGCCTGACGAGCGAAATCAGCGGTCCCTGTCAACCACAGCGCTACTTTGAGGCAGCGATTCACCACGAGTGGGACGGCGTGCCGACGCTCGCGTACATGAAGCGCCACCGCGTTCGGATGACAGCGCAGATGCTGTTGGCTCGGTACTGTATCCCAGGCCAGGGATCGCCGTACTTGATCGACATGACGTCGGTCACGGACTCGGACGGCGACAGTGACAGTGACGACGGGGGAGGGCAGTAGTCATGCGGCGTGTCGAAGTGTCGAGCGAGAGAGAGAGCGACAGAAGAGAGACAGAAGAGAGAGAGAGAGAGAGAGAGAGAGTATAGGAGGTCGGGTGGTTGTGCATCTCGAGAGGATCATCGAGAGCGACCGATAGGCATTTATAGGTATATTGGGATAGCTACTGACTGCAGTGGCTGGTAAGGAGCAGGTGGGCTTTGTCGCTGGGAATGCCCGATCCACTAGCGACCTGGTAAACGAGTAAGGACTGTTTTCTATCGTCGAGCCTCACCTTTGGACTGCACACGTGAGAATGTGCGGTCAAGACGCTTGGAGAAGACTGGACGGATGGATCGGATCGAGACCATGAGCACGGCCACGTCCTATGCGATCTGACTACAGGTTTGAACGATCGCACGATCGACCAGTACCGCTTCGTCTGCGACCGTAACGTTGCGCTCGACTCGACCTGTTGCTTCCACGCACACTTTGTCCCACTTCTTCTGACGTGCGACTCGCCGTACCACGTGGGACTTGTGGCTGTGGCTGTGGAGGTGATGTGTGCGTCTTATTGACCATATGAGGACTCGTCGTCTTGACGGTCAAGAACGTATCGAAGTAGTGAGGATGGGTAGTCTATGGAGGGAAGAGAAGGTTCGGGCGGACGGTAGAGTCGAGATCGCTTCATGTGGTAAGTCTGCTTACGTTTACGATAATGGGGATGGCGAAATGAGCGAAAAAAGATCTGGTGAGACCGTGACGATGATGGGTCGCGAGCGTAGGACGGCTCACCTTTTGGCAAGTAGTACGTGTCGCTTTCCTTCTCGGACACAATGACAAGACCAAGATAGCGATACTGAGGAATGGCGAGTGGTGACGATGGAACTACCGACATGCTGGGAATGTATTTGTAACGGAAGACGACCGCCATGAACGAGATGACTGGCAAACCCGACATGTGAAAATCTCTCGTTGACCTTATTGTGGTAACACACTGCATCAATAGTAACCGTGCTGCCAGTACTCAGACAGTTCCACACCACTATGTGATGGTATGTTCCAGCGCTGTGGCAAGGGAGCGACCATTCAGATGCACTGCAAGACCCCTTCCCTGTCGTGAAGTTGTACGTGCGCTGACCAGCAGACAAGAGCGCAAGAAGATGCTTGAGGGACCGAGTGCAGTAACTGCACGATATGATGGTCTAGTACTTGTAGATAGCGACGTCGATGCACACCACAAGTAGTCCAATGGTGTCCTGGCCATGGGACATGGATCGTCAACACCTTGACAAACTTGTGTGCGACGGGATTTGTAGTTCGTATATCGGAGAAGACGGATGTCCGGATGTATGGATCTGCAGTTTCGAAAGCAGCTACTTACAAAGCGACACTGAGATCAAGGCAGACCACCGTGCGTCAAGTCGTTGTGATATGCTTAGTGATGGTACCGGCTGCCGTTGTGGTGTTGTTCAGACGAGATGTAGCAGTGCCCGTGTACGCATCGACAGTTGATCGCCAAATTGAATGGTGATCACAAGTGCATAGTCTGTATAAATATGACGTGGAAGAGAGGATGCAAGGGCTATTGCGTGAATCGTACCTCGCACTAAAGCGCTTCAAGGTTTACACGATCTCATTTGCATCTGATCTATGACACTAAATGATCAAGAATAACGACCTGCAAGCCAGGGAGGCCCTTATCATGATGCGTATTGCCCCAGTAGAATTATTTCGGTCCCGATAATAGTAGACGCAAGCGCATACGTGTGTCATTGCTTGGAAGATGATCGGGACCTGTAGGCAGACAGTGTCAAGCTAAATAGGCGTTTTCCGTTCCTCTGTCGTGTTCGACTTGTTGAATGCATTCGCTTTTACGCTATTTTGATTCGATTGCTGCTGGAAATGTAATATTTGAGCTGTCGTATCTTGTGTATGGCATCAATGTGTCAATGACTCGCACAACACCTGCAGATGTACAATATGCCATTCATAGTCCATGAAACCATTCTTGGAAAGTATCTCGACGACGTTTGTGTCGTGGTGAAAAGCTAGAAATGTGTCAATGACCGTGTATGAGTGCCAAATGGGCAAAGATGCCATGTTGTCCGTGACAGAGAATGGGAACCAAACAAATGACGGACACCATTGTACAACAGACCTAGGCAAAAGTCTTCAATCTAGCAAAAACAACAACTACCCAACGCTGTGGAACATGTGTCATGAGCGACAGCATGAAAGTGACAAGCTTGGAGATTAAAAGTCGATGTTGTAGCAGAAAGCAACGGTATGTGATCAGCCATTATTTGAATGATCGGCGAATTTGACTCCATGTCGAGTATCACGACTACTAGAGCGCAGATGAATATCGTTGATGTGTAAGGTGGGCAGGGAATGGTCCGATAAATCGAGCAAAACGAACTGGTCAAGCCAACTGTGCTGAGCAACTGCATGCATCCTTGACATACTTATGGGTCCAGCATGCACAACAAGCTTCAGTCTCTACGATCCTGCTGCGCGGCTTGCGATAGTGTTTCGGTAAAAAAATACATGTGCAGACATCTTGCATCAAGCTGTGCCAAATTCCCCGGCGTACACGTCTTCGATATGACATGCATCGATGTTCGTATACGTTTGATACATTCGCATACGCTCAGTCCTTAACGTGTGCCGCTTTTGTTGGCAATCACTGCTCCTGGAATATAATCGTCTAAAGACCGTGCTTCAGTTGAGCTGGAAGTCGACTTCGGCTTGGGCTTGACCATATCAGCGATGGAAACTGGAGCTCCAACACCGTCATCGTCAAGTGATGCTAAGGTTGGAATCCGCACGTCCCGCACCTTTGTATCGTCGATGGCGCCGTAGAGGGCGCGAAGAGTGAGGATGTCGCCAGCACTAAGCACCGCCCGTGTTCCGATTTCGGAATCTCGACTGGAATCACAGTGCTGCTCAACCGGCTGCACGCAGTTCTTGACCGTCTCGATGTCACAGAACGATTGAAGCGGGTATTGCGGTTTCGGAAAGCATAGACCAGCGCTGCGACCATAGTGCATGATGGACTTTGGGTCGTACGGCTTGAGGATAGCTTCGCGACTCGTCTTCTTGGCGTAGTTTTCCGCTGACACAGGCAAGTTCTGGTCCGTGAGCACAATCACCTCGCGGTTCCAGTGCGTGTGTTCATGGTACAGGCCCATCGCGTGGCCAATCTCGTGCACGACATTGCCGATCCCGCCAGCAAAGCAGCTCTCACCGAGGTTCATGATCTGCGGCTTGCCGTCGTTCACGTACCCCACCAAGCCATAACACGCGTCCTCGTTCTGCTCAATGCTCACGTATTTGCCGTTGCACTTGGACACTGGATCACACTCTTGCAACGTCACGTTCACTTCTGCTTTGCTGTAGAGGTCCACAGCGGCATTGATGACCTCGAGCTCGTGGTCAGAGAACGAGCCGTTTATGCGGTACCACACAATGTGGTCGGGCCAGATATCTTCTCTCAGCATCACGGCCACTCCCAGTCGTCTGCGCTCATGCACGTGCGCGCAGTCGACTTCGTTACTGTTGATCCAGTGCGGTGCATCCACTAGTCCACGGTCTTCGAAGCAGGTCGCTAGTCCATTGTTGCACCGAGCGTAGATGCTCCCGGGATCATGGGCCTGGCCGAAGATATACTTGAGACCGCCATGGTCGAGCTGGACGCCTTCAATGTCACAGTCTGCAGGTACTGCACTTGCACGAGTGGCCAATGGGGGCAACAGCAGCAACAAGAAACGCATAACTGTTCCTGAGCACGCAATGCAATTTAGACTCGAGCGCGGACTGACTACTTGGCTCGGATTGGCTGAAATTGCGGGGTCAAGTGGGCGAAGAGAGTGTAGCTATGTCCTAGTCTAGGCCTTTTGAAAGACGATTACTGTTCGATGCACGTGGGTACAACAGGATGGGTACACGTTATCTAGTCGAATTAATGGGTATGTCACCGATACGAGATTGAAGCAGTAGGAAAATAGCTACTGTCACATGTTCATTGATGCATACATCTAAAGTCGCGGTGGATATACTGTGGTTGCAATATGTGATCGGAGTCGTGAGTTTACGTCGTAATAAGAAGCTCAATCCTAGTGACAAGCTGGCTCAGGTGGCGGAAGAATGGACGCGCCTAGTGCTACTTGTCTGTAATCAGCAGAAGCGGTGACGGCTCAGCATCGATGCTAAGCCGAACAATAGTTCAGGGAGTGCAAGAAATGTAAAGCTTTATTGCGATTGAGTCAAACAAAGATTGCATGACGGTCACTAGGATCAACGTTGGCTCTTTTGCGACCGAGACGTGACGTGGTCGTTAATGAAGATTGATGAAATCCCCATTGGTTGGTGTAGCTTGCAGCTTAGCACACGTTCTTGCCGTATGATATGCAAGCAAACGTGTGTATGGGGCACAATGTAAGCTCTTTTCGTCCAGCCGATTGTGCCATGAGCAAATGCTATCGTCACACCGCACGAACGTCAGCTGTATACACGACAAGACAAAAAAGACGCAGAGATGGCTCATGATTTCACAAGCTCTGATAGTTGTGATACAATTTTTTTGTTTGCACGTCTGTGCCGCGGTGTCGATTGTTCGTCACGTACCCTTATGTGAACGATGGTGAGCGCCTTCACAGACTCTCCTGTACAGTTTTTTACGCTATCCCACATATATAAGATATCCGCTTGGATTGCACCGTATGAGCTGCGGATATGCCATAGGAGCTTTTGGACTTTGGTTGCTTGTCACGTATACATAGTGCTTCGTAAACGTCGATGACATGTCAAATGGCCGTGTAGTGCTCGTGACCACTGGTGACATGTCACGTCGCCGTGGCGTGATTCGTCGCAGTCAATTTACTGCGACGAGTCACTTCACACTACTTCTTACCTTCGTATACAGTCAGCTGGCCAGAAGCCTGGACTTGCCAGCACCGGACACATGTTCATGAAGACATATCCGGCGTCCTGTACAGTAAAAGCCAATTCACCAAAGGCAGCAAATCTGGACCAATCACGTCAGGAGCTCATTGATCAATGCATGTGTGGTCGCAGTCAAGCGTTTCGAGTATCTGAGCCGGCCACCGTCAAGCTACTGTGACATCATAGCACACTGACCTCAGCATTGTGCATAGCAAAGTGAAAAGGCACGTTAAACAGAACATTCGTTGTGATGTCCACAAGAAGTAAGAACGCTTACCCGAAGTCGGACGTATCGACGGCCAACGTGTCGTGGTTCACGCCACCAACAGCTACATCCACGTCCATGCGTCATGTATGCTCGTCAGCGTATGCTCCCAGCGGAAGTGACAAGTAGGTACAACAACCAGTATGGCTGTAGACGGCAGCGATAGCTTTTCGCTTCCATCCGCGGCAAGCAACTGCAAGTCGAGCACACTGTATGACTACAGCTGAGCGTCCTAAACAAAGCGACAAGTCGTCAACGTGCAATGAGAACGCACGGCAAACAGCTCGAGCATATTGTGCAGCCGTCCAATGCAGATCAATGTACTTATCTGTGACGATTGCAAAGCACGTAGACGAAAGAGTCTGGACGTGGCGTAGGACACAATAGACATGAACTCTTGTGTCTTGTCCTTCGTGTCAAACAGAATACACAGACTGCACATTTTGCCTCAGTGATGTCCTGTTAATAAGCCGATAACGTACCAAGAAGTACGAAGAAACAACGTGGAAATCGATGCGTCCATCACAGTCCCGTGTCTGCAAGTACGCACTCTGACGTGCCCCTCACGATGTAAAAGCGGGCGATTTTGCCTTCCAACGCTTGTGCACCAAACGTGACAACGCCGTCGCCTTCGACGCATCCCGTGCACTGTCTGTGCCACATTAGATTGCTATCATGACCTCAAAAGCAAAGAACGACGACATACATTCCCCTCATCTGACGATAAGTGCTCGATGTGTCGTTCAAACGTACTCGTGCGCAACAGCTGATCGTAAGGCCATAGCCGGTCAAAAAACACATGTTTTCTCGCTTCAAAACCCCATACCGTCGGTCATGTTTAGATCACGCACTTCGTACCCTTTGCCGCGGCAAACCCGTCCACGCGCCTGCTGCGACCTCACGTTCCCGCCTTCTACGCTGCAGCTCCTCTTGTCTTCGGCCGCACCTCCGAGTCCTGCACCGTATGGAGAAACACCGCATCGTTCGGATGGCTACAGCACCAGACACACCATCAAAAGAGCGTTACCACAATGACACTCTGTACCAAACACACAAACATACACCGATACACACACACAGGAGACAGCCCCCTGGCCACGCAACGTACTCTTTCTCCCCCTGTTCGTACGTGTACGAGGCCGCGACCGCCAGCACTGCTCCGTCGCGACTAAAGTCCAGTGCGGCAATGCTCGTCGGGTACGGCCGCAAGTGCGTAATGCGTTTCTTGTTCGCACCGTCCCAGAGATTCACGACGCCATCACAGCCCCCCGTCGCAAACGTACCGTACGTCGGGTGGAACGCAATCGCATTCACGGGGTACACGAGCGCCTGGTCGTCCACTTTGCCGCGATGGCACTTGAACGCGTAGCTGCGTTTCTTCCGACTCGGGTCCGTTAGCAGCGCGCCCGTGTCACTGTCGTTGTTGCTGTCACTGAAGTACTCGAGCGCGACACGGCCTTCGACTGACGCTACTGCAAAGCCCATGAGGTCGGGGAACACGCGCACACAGCGCAGTTGGTACTTCAGTGGACTCTCTTTCTCCACGAGCGGCTGCGTCCACTGCCGCACGTCGTACACGGCCACGCGTCGCTCGGACGTCCCCACGACCACCAAATGACTGCACACGTCCATGCCAAAGACTTTGCCCGTCACGTTCACCGTGTGGACCTCTGCCTGGGAGCGGCCGTTCCGCACGTCAAAGAGCTTGAGCGAGCCGTCCCAGCTGCCGCTGACGGCGAGGCCACACGCGGTCGAGTAGCCCACGTGGCGCACCGCCGCGTCGTGTGTCCCGAGACTGGTCTTCTGGTTCGTCTGGATGTCCACTTGACGCACTGCGCCGTCCAATCCGCCCACAAACGCTTCGACGTCGCCCTGGCCGTAGCAGCAGCTGAGCACAGGCGTCTCCATGTCCACGCTCGTGCGAAGGCGGACGCCGTCGTACACGCGAAGCGTCGCGTCCCATGAACTCACCAGCAGCGGCTGCGACGGCGCGCCAAAGCGCACGCACGAGACGCCGTCGCTGGGCGGTGCTTGCAGCTCGACGTCGGTCATGTATCCAGAGTGATTGTCAGTGCAACCACCGGCCGCGCCAAAGGAAACCTTTCCCCTGGCATACGGCAACCTTTCCTTTCGCATGCAGCACCCTTTCCTCTGGCATCCAGAAACCTTTCCTTTCGCATGCAGAAACCTCACCTCGGGCATACGGAAACGCCATGCGTTTGCAAAGGACACCGCATGCATTCCCACGTCAACAAAAGCGCACTCGCTCGGGCATACAAACCGCAAGTCCCGCGTCTCGATCGATACACCCGCAGGCAAATGGCGCGCCGCACGCGCACGACGCCCCGGCGCCGCGTGTTCAGCACGCTGCGCTGCATGCAGCTGACGGGCACGACGACGCCTCCGACGGTCGCGCAAGTCGCGCAGACCGCGCAGTGGAAGCGGCAGGGCGCGCGGCCCCGTCTCCAGACAGTGGCCGACCTGCCGACGGCGTTTGTCGCGTCGCTGGACGCCGACGAAGCGCGCGCGCACGCGCTCGAGCGCTCGTTCCACGGCCGGAAACAGAGCTTTGTACTGCTCTTGCGCGAGCTCTACGCGCTGCTGGACGGCGTGACGCAGGACCGCCGCCAGCTGCGGCTCGTGCTGCAGGAGCTCGTGCAGCGCCTCTTGGACCCGAGCGGCGTCTACGCCGACGCGGACAGCGACCGCGCCGCGCTGAGCGACCACGTGGACGAGTCGGTCGGCCGTTACGTCGCGGCCGAGCGCGAGACGTTCCTGCGCGTCGGGGGCGACGAGTGTCTGTTGCGCGTGCTGCACGCGCTGCGTCTCGAGGACCAGTTGCTGCTGGAAGCGGCCGAGAAGCAGCCGCCGGTCTGGTCGACGCTCGTGCTGGACGGTGAGCGCCGGCAGCGACACGGCGTGAGCCCCCGCAGCGACGTGCGGGCGCTGTGGGAGACGCCGGTGCCGGTCGTCGTGGCCCCGGGCAAACACGGGGCCGACGCGTCGCTGCGGAAGCACATTCTAAACGACGCGATGGCGATTTTGCGCGAGCTGTGCTACTTCTCGAGCAACTTGGCGCGCCAGCTCGGCGACAAGGACGGCCTGATCGTGTACCTGTTCCAGCTCATGGGCGACGTGCGGTTCTTTGACAATGCGTCGGGACTAGTGGAAGAGATTTTGGCCGTACGGGACACGTCGTTCGACCTCAGCCGCATTCGTACGTGAGCTGCTGTCGTTGTTGCGGTTGTTGCGGTTGTTGCGGTTGTTGCGGGGCATTTTGTGGACGACGTTGCTGACGGCTGTGGTGCTCTTGTGGTGCGGTGGATATAGCGAATGTGCACGCAATTATGCAGTCGCTGTCGTCGAGACAGCTGGCGTTCTTTTGCCGCGTGTTGGCGCTGGTGGTGTTTGAGCCAGAGGACCGACGACTGTTGGAGACGGCGAGTACGTGGCTGCATATATCCGCTCGTTGTGTTGTGTTAGTTCTTTTTCGATGGACCGATGCAGCTGATTGAACTCTTGACTGACGTTGTGTGTTGTTCTTGTACGATGTAGAAGTGATCAAGTCGCTGGAACTGCTGAAGCTCCGCCGCAGTCGCATGATGCGCGCCGACAATATCGTCGACCGCAATCACGCGCTCATTTTCAACTCGCCGTTGATCTTGCAGCGCCTGCTGCTGGTTTTGCAAGTGCAGAACTTTTACTTTGCACTGAATCCAGTGTACGAGCCGTTTTCGTCCGAGCTCGCGACGTCTGCCGAGTTTGCTACTCTGCTCTACCAAACGAGCGGTCGCAGTGACTGGGACACGATTGATCGCCTGGTCACGCATCCAGTGCTTGGCGCATCCGGAGACCTCACGATTTTCCACCGACATCACCAAGAACGAGCTACAGCAGCAGCGGGTGGCGATTCGTTCTCGTCTCCGTCGTCGCACATACAACAAGCAGCGCAACAGCAGCCGTTCTCTGCCGAGACGGCTATCTTGCGCGACCTGATCTTCCGCAATCGATCACCAGACCAACGCGCTCGGGAAGACACTGAGGCCCAAATCATCATGAAGTCTATCGTACTGGCTCCGTACCGCGTCGAGGTGCTGTTTGTGCTTTGTACGTTGCTGAATGGCAAACGCAAAGTGGATTTCCAAGAACGGCTTGCAGAGGTGGGTCTTGTGAAAACACTGAACACGATGTTCGACAAGTTCCAGTGGACCACAACAGTGCCCTCGAATCCAGTACATGAGCCGTTGCATGGACCTGGCTGCGACTGCAGCTTGGACGCATCGTTGAAGATCCAGTTCCTCCGGCTGATCCACAACTTCTGTGACCGCGACTACAGTGACAATACGAGCAAGCTGTTGTTGCTGAGTGAGCATGAGATCCAATTGATGAATGATGGGAGCTCCACGCCCATTGACCTCGATCATCCTGACAAGGGGTTGCTGTCGAAGATTATTTACGCGCTGATTAAACAGCCGGTCGACTCGATCTATCGATTTTGGCTGGCGTCTTGCGTGGAGGCATTTTTGCGGCGAGCGACTTCGAGTGAACAGCTTTTTGTAGCACGCACGCCATTGTTGCATGCTTTGGTCAATGAGATTCTTGTCGGAGGCGCCTATCGCTCACAAGGGAGTTTTCAGTCAGCTTTCGATTTGCTTGGAGAGATGACCAAGGGCAACTGGCTGACATTGCAGCTATTCCACGGTCTTCTGAGCAACACCCAGTTTGCCGCTTTCATGGGTACGTACTACATGAGGCTTTTGTGCTTTTGCTTGTGGTGGCACATGTTTCTCACTGACACATTTTGCATGTTTGGACATTGCAGAAGTGGTGGTACTGAACTTGGTGGATTCAAATGTGTTTATCCGGTCGATGCTGCTGTCGTCAGAGAAGTTTGCGAAACAGCCAACGAGTGGAACATTTGGTCTAGCGGATGACTTTGAAATGGACCGCATGAGCGAGTTCTTAACAGTAAATCTGGTTCGCCTACTACGTGATCTCATGACGATCGTCACAATGGACGACATCAATCACGAAAATATTTGCTGTTTGAACACAGCCATTGTGATCTTTGTCTTTCAGCATCGTCGACAGCGGCTCCCGGCTATTCTTGAGGCGCTGCGTGATTACGAAGAAGTATCTGGTAAGCAAGGCTACGTTTGCAATAATTTCCGTGGCTTGCTATGGTTTTGGATCCAGTATTACACCCCACGTGGCCGCGACCGTCTCGGGCTCGAGCACTCAAGCGAAGTCAAGTTCGAAGAATGGCGACACGTTGTCTCGCTACTGTGTGCTGACGATGGTTCCAAGACGGCTTTGCTCTCGACGCCAGCGCGCCTGCCGCTGTCCCCGTATTCGCGCCTGTATGCTACTCCCCGAAGAAGGTGCCTGTAAGCGTCGCACATCCACTGTGCGATGAGTGTGATAGACCGTTTGAGGTTTATATGAGCTTGTAAGTGAACATAAGCATCGTCAGTTTTGGCACATCGGTGGGCAGTAGAACTACAGCCGCACTTTTGCTTTGTTGAACGTGTGCTGTCTTTGTTTCGATAAGTACTTAGCACTCGTGATGACCCGTTGGAAGCTAAGGATTGTGGTGACGGCAGATATTCCACAGTAGTGACACTTGTGCTTCACCACGTGTGCCTGCACCATGAGCTACAGAAGGACTTGGTCTGTCGAACAATCGCAAATGCTGGAAAACACGTGGTAAAGGAGATGTTACAACGATCAGCGTTAAGCGTGAAAGGTGTGAACTAGAAAGCATAATCATCACCATACGGCCTATTGTCCATGATGCCATTGACGTGACTGATCATGTCCAGCATCTATCAGCATTTCGGCGTATCACTTGTGTAAATTCTGCAAGTCACTGGTCAGTGTAGACGGTAAAGCTTTCCTGGGTGCGCCACGTTCGGAATCGATGCCGGCAAAATGGGCTGCATCATCGGTGGTACCGAGAGCTAAACTACCGCAAGTTACAGATTGGCAGCAGCATCTTCAATAGCAATCCGTAGACCAGTCAAATCGTGCTCTTTGTCGCGAGAACAGAGCTTCACACATGCATAATTTCTCTTCGTACATGTCACTACTACGTAACGAGCAACTTCTTGTGCTTTGTGGGGTCCTTAACCCACTTGACAGTTCTTCCCTCTTCTGTTTCCGCCGTTGACCATTCCCACACTTCCAATTCGCAAAAACTCGGCTTAATGAAGCATGAGACAACGCATATGTGTTTTAAACAATATCGTCTGGATCGACAATAATTACGACTTCATTTCGTCACCGATGGCCCTGTTCTCGAGATTTTGGACCTTTTTCGAAAACACATGTATGCACTCTATTTTAATTTGCGCAAACTACAGATACATTTGATCTAATCACTCGGAAGAATGATTGTATAAAAAACACCTAAATTCTATGTGGGGGGATTATGTAATGCGCATTGTAATTATGATCCTGTGCTGCGCAAATTTTGTCGCATGGCTCGTCAGCTAGAAACTTCGCACTATGCAATAACAAGCAAACGCTAACTCTTGCGTTGACGATCATTGCTACACCACGCAATAATGCTATGCTGAAAGGCAGTTATGAGGTCGGGTGTGTATATCATGCGTGAAGGCTCGACAGTATTAATCTAACACGCTTCTATCCATCGAAGTGATCCATAATTCTTTCGGCACAGCCTTCGTCAGTCAATTCAAAGACGGACAAAGCTACAACATTCAATAGCCTAGACAATCAGCTCGTATAGCTCCAACATATAATGACCGTCCTGCCATTATGCAGCCTACGTTTCGATGGCCATGCGTTTCAGCGCCCATCGGTAACGATGCATTTTGTCAGAGGTCTGGTAGGCACATCATAGCGCAAGAAAAGTACCGGTCTATTAAAGCACAGATATGGACGTACTTCCATCTTCGGCAACGGCTCGTTGCTATGACAGCACCATTCATCGTCCATTCTTCTGTCAAAGTGTCGAGTGACAATAGCATTAGCAGTGGCATCTTCGGGCCCATTTCGTAAGGATCTTTCATTTGTACGTTGCCGTCTCATCAAACCCAACTCCAGAATTTAAGTATGGGATTCCAGCTGAGCCGAGAAGGCTTGGACGGTGTAAGCGATACAGGCAACATGCAATAGAGCGAAGACCTCGTTGTTGCCAGGACTTTCCGACACTGTGTGGATGTAGCGATAACTCGGAAGATGCACTACTACGCCAAATCTTACCATGAACGACCCCGCTCCATCAGAATATTTTCCACGCCACTCAGCGGCCCACATAACGATAGACAGCTCCTGAGTCACATGGGATCGTCTCATCATACTAATCATGAACAGGCAAGAGCTCATTGCCTGCGATAAGGTTAGTCAAGAAAAGAATGACAAACACCAACTCTGGTTGTCGCTGTCTGGAAAAGTTGTAATTGATGCACAATGAAGAAGGACAGATAGGAAAATGGTAAGTGATCTCGTGTCTGCTCTCTTCGGTGCTGTGCACACTTTTCATCCCGCGGGTGAGGACAAACCAGGCAATATGCTACTGCTTGACTTGTTCGTGCGGCGTATCTATGCTCACTCTTCTTCCAGCAATACCTGTCTGCTGACTTGTGCCCTCCCTTGTCGTACTAACTCTACCTAATCGCAGCTGAAGCGGTAGTTTGTGCCAACACAATACGTGTTCGATGCAATCAGTTGTTGACGTTGTAAACAGTCCGACGCCGTGTGAGATGGAGTGCTGTGTGCCACGTCCAGCAAAGCGAAAGAAGTGAAAATCGATGTCAAGTTTAAACACCGCTCACTACGTACCATTGAGGAATGAGCGAATACTGAAGCGGTAAGTTTGAATGTACCGATCCGATCAGCACATGCGTGTCCTTCGTACCTGACGAACAGCAGCGAGGTTAGTAAAAGGACTGTACTTTGCCAGTGTGGCAGCCACAAGTGTCACTGGGAAGAGCGATGCAGCTACTACAAATCTGCCCATGATGTCATTACTGGATGACGCATGCTCTGTAGCCTACGAAAAGCACGTAGCGTACTTCATGATATGGACCGTCAGAGAGCTGTCGAGCGATTTTAGATGATGTCACCGGGCGAGTACCTCTCAGTTGCTTCACAAATAGTTCGCACTGCAACGAATGTGGCAACGGACGACAAGTCCGATTAACACGTAAGGCACAACGAACGACAAGCGTTTCCAGTATAGTTGGTGGGTCCTGTGGTGTGCGCCTTCGCAACAATGAACGATCATTCCAAAAAAGTGGCCGCAAACGAAGAGCCTCTCTGAGAACGGGTCGAATGGGACTGATAGTTGTCTCTATATCCGCAAACTGCACACACGTCGTGACGAGCACTCCATTCTTCATTGCGATTGACACTTTGTTCTCGACGTTCGATGAATTAATACCAATAGCTTCTGTTGGGCACGGAATGCATAACTTGTCCGCCACAAGGCCAGCCAAAAGGTGTTGTGCTCGCATTGCCTTCCAATTCACGCGAGGCTTGCATTGTGCTGCTCTGCCATTGCTGCGCCTTTACATTATCGTGCATTCTAGCGCCCTGTAGGATGCTATGTCGAACTTACCTGACGGATGAAGTACACGTGATATGCAAGGTTGCTCGAGCTATGTGGCATCACTGGCCATTTCGTTGGGTCTTGTCGTTGCTTTCCAAGTAATGCGCAGCACCTGCTGTATCTCAGTAGCAACAGCGAGAAAGTGTGGCGTGGAGGCACTGCACGCGACACGAGGCACGTGGTTGCATACTGCATTCTACGGCGATGCGTGCTACGATGTAGATTGGAGTTGATGTTGATGTACCTGCTGTTGTCCTTCCTGGGGTGACATTCCTTACCCCCACTATCTCGATGTGCACGTGGGTTGACATCTAGTGTGATAGCAAGCGACAGCCTTCGTAAAACAAACTTCGGTCGTGGTTACATACCGACGTCGGCCGTCTAATGCTGCAATTTTAGCGGCATGTCTGTGTCCGTCTCACCGCCATCTCACATCTTTCGGTAACGTGACGCGCTATGCGTTGTCTGGTGTAGCCATACTGTAATAGCAAAAGGAGCACTGATGACGCCAAGACGAAGGGTGCGTACCGCCATGAATTGAAGTGCAAGTGAAAGAGGTCTTGCTTATGTATGTAAGGCAAGGAAGCAGTGGCAAGCAGAACATGTACACCTGCCCACTATGCTGACGTCGTGCATGCAAAAGCACTAGACCTCGCGCATCAGCGAGAGATGTGTCAAGACGTATGCATAAAGTGTTCGACCAAAACACGTCGCATGACTCCGCCCATTCTGTTGTCCCATTTGTATGGACAGTTGTCCACACAACTGCAATCACAGCAACAGAACGACCGACGCCTTTGTACCGACCTCAACCACAAAGAAACACCGCAAGCGAATACCAAACGTGCAGCAACAGTCTCTGAGATACTGTATTGTGCTTTCTCCTCTTCGTATCTTCTCTCGTATCTTCTCCTTCTTCTTCTGCTCATGCCGTGCGCAGCGGAGGCGCTACGAGGATCACAACGTCTCCCCGCACAAACAGCATCTCAATCGTGCGCTTTGACTGCTTAATGAGCTCTTCGTACGTCTCGGGGTCCAGCTCTTGCACAGTAATCGTCTCTTCGACGTCGCTCAGCACCATATTCAGGTGCTGGTCGTACGCCTGCAGCACCCCACGCAGCTCGCGGTCGCCTCGGCACTTGATGTAGATACGCTCGGCCACGCTCAGCTTGATCAGGTCCAGTGGCTCATCGATGGACGTCATGAGTCGGAGAGTGTACCCACTTTACGATGACGCGCTCTCTCGTCGTGATCGTCTGTCTGGTCTCGGACGATTTTATCCATAGGATGCTGAGAACACGATAGTCGATATTATCCCGATCTTTTGCTCGCGTCACGCGGGTCGCGCGCGAACCTGCAAACCGTGCAGTCGTTTTTGCATTTGGTGCCGACGCTCGCTTTTGATTGGTCGATACAAGCGCCATCGAACCCGCTCGACGAATCAGCGACCTCAGCGGTCGCGCGCTGCCCACCAGTGGCGCCACGCGACCAGTCGAGAAGACGCACGACATGCGCGGCCACGACGCGGCCGTCTTGAGCGCCATGAGCGACGTGAGTGCGTCCGACGACAGCGACGACGAGCGTCTGCATGTCATGGACCCGTCGGATCCGCGCGCGCACCGTTTAGCGCCGTCTGTCGCGCAGGTTCCGAGTCCTCGTCTCGCGTTGACTCCGCCAGCGGAGATCCACCGCGACGCCGACTCAGAGTCTGAGAACATTGCTACACACCGATTGGGCGCTGGTGCACATGTCTCAGCATCGCCGACTCGGTCGACGAAAAACGTCATTGATACTGATGACGTAATCCCTATCCAGTTCGACGATGATGGCGTTGACGATGATGGAGACAGTCGTAGGACCACTAAGGAGAAGCAGAAGCCGAAGGAGACGAAGACGAACGGGACGAAGTCTGTGACGCTCTCCAAGTGGGCCCAAGCGCGTTTCCTCGTGCCTGCTGGAGCTCGAAAAGTCGCAGTGGTCGAAGAAGACACGTGTCTCGAGCCGCTCAATGACTTTATCTTGAGTGACTTTAGCTCGCGGTATCGTGGAGACGTGGGCAATGTCGACGTGGAGAAAGCTATTGCAACAGCCGACGAGGAAGATAGGGACGAAGACGAGTCGTTGGTGGGTTCGAGCAGGCAAAAGCACGTTGGTGCACCGCTGTTTGAGACGAGCGGGGACGGAAGGCCGATCGAGGCTGGCAACAGGAAGGCGAAGGACGCTGGAAGCAACCAGAGGGTGCTGAAGAAGGATGGAGAAGGACGCAAGCGCAAGGAGAGCAGGTACTTTGTGACGGACTTGGCCACCAAGTGTTATCACTGCGGAGAAGTGGGTCACATGGCCAGTGTCTGCATGAACGACAAGCTGCAGCCGCCTTGCTACTACTGTGCATTACGTGGACATCAGTCGTGGGCGTGTCCGAACCTACCGTGTGCGAGTTGTCTCCAGTTGGGGCACCAGGAGAAGGTGAGCACATTGTTCTACGTGTTGTGTGTGGGAGTGTTGGGTACCTGCTTTACTAATGGATGCTGTGCACGTTGCTGTGTGGCAACAATGTCAGTACTGCAACAATCGAGCGATGACCACCAAGACCTGCAAACTATGTGGGTGCACTGGTCATACGGAAGACCGTTGCGGCAACGTAGACACTGTAGAGCAAGCAACGTGTATGGTGTGCACAAGAGTGGGACATCTGCACTGTGTGCCCGTGCCGCCTCCTGCTGATAGACGTGTGTATTGCCCAAACTGCGCCGAGAACCACAAACTAGAACGGTGTCGGCGGTACAGCAAGCCCATTCCGGTCAACCTCACTGCTCGAGTAGCCAGCGGACGCTTTGTGCAAACGTGCTTCGTGTGCAGCGAGGCCGGTCACATTGCTGCCGAGTGTCCGACGCGCTCGAATGGATACGGCAGAGGCAGAGACGGCTGCTATAAATGCGGCAGGTCTGGGCACTTTGCTGCTGAGTGCTACGGCTCAAGCAATCACCATAGCAACGATCGACATGATAGTAGTCGCAAACGGTATCGCGATGTGCAGGATGAGTATCCGAACTACAGAGACCATCGACGACGCTGAGTTGCAAAGTACTTCTTGTAAACAGGGGCAAGCACAGCGCACTTGGATGGCGGTTCTCTGAAGATCGATTATTTATCAGCGATATAAGTGTAAGTGTTGTAAGCTCTCGGCACGCTACTTCGCTCAATGCCAAAAGGCGTTGAGGCTTTTGCAGATGCGTGACAGGTAGACACGACACGACTACGGCTTAGTTGTTTTTGTGCGGGCAAATGGAATCGACGCGCTGTACAAATGAGTTGTCTGGACAACGTTTGCGACAACAGTTGTGGTGCTCGAGTAGACAGGTTGTGCTTCTGTATCGAAAACAACGTGTGTGAGTGGTCAAGGCAAAGCAAAATTGGACACGAGATGGTCCTTCGAGTTCACGTGCGCGAGGAAGCCTATGTGAATGACAAAGATAAAAAAAAGCGTGGACAAATGCAATAAGACCTTTGTCGTCGAACAATTTTGCTGACAGAGCGGAGTGCAGATCGACTATGATGGTACCGAGGAAGATAGCAGTAGCTAGTAGAGCATTATAAAAGTGGTCTATGTCGACATCAACGCTACGCATGCTCAAAATCTCTTTGGAAGCTAAGGCATCAAGAACTTCACCTTAATCTGCTCATCACGTTGCGTGCAATACTCTCGACGCAAATGGTATACAGAATCGACTTGCGGTCCCATATCAAGGGAACTCCGCAAAATCGAGTAGTAACAGTTTAACGAGTATCAACGGGGGCGCATCACTTCCATTTACATGTATTGCATCTGATGTATCGACGGATGCATCTTTCGTACCTTCTTGTAAATTCTTCCAACTTTCTTGCCTAACTTTAGTTCATGCACAGACATCATCAACGAACATACTTAGTTGCATGTCATTGAACGTGTGTAGTATGCCTTACATAAAGCACGTGAGCTCCATTATGTCGCTCGCAAGACAGCATGCCATTACGGTCAACAAAGCGACATCATTACTGTGTACGCGTGGAGTGCCCAGCTCTTGTTTATGTCGACCCATGTAATGTATTCCGAAGCTCGCCCTACTGCTTTCTTTATCATCGCAATCACACATGATACCCGCCGAGCATAGCATAAAGCAACAACAATGCAAAGCTTCATTCATAGACGCATGGCGTATAGAACTTGTCCGCTTTCTCTTACGTTTGGTCCAAATGGACAATATATATAGTGATGCATTCAATACACCATGCGGAAGGATGAAATGTTCGGATCGCTGGCAAAGTGTAAGCAAAAGGACGGGTGACAGTCCGCACAACTTCCTATCGCCAGCTTCGTCGTAGCGCTTGCATTGTCGCCGAATCGATGCTACTCTTGCCGACGATTTGGTTGTTGTCTTGATGCTACAGCTGTAAACTACCAAACACTTCGCTACCCATGTTCTAGTCTCGTTTAGTATGCCAACTACGAAAACTGTTGCGCATGTATGGCCGATCCAGATAATACGCATCCTGCATTCCTACAGCACCACATCAATGGCTCAGTGAGCACTGCTATAGCAAGACAATTCGCAATTTTCTGCAATCAACACTCAGTCCCATTCGCTTCGGCAATTGCTGACTTTGTCGATATGCTCATCAGCACAAGAAAGAAGAGTCTTTGCGAGTGAGTGATGCGTGATTTCTTAATGTCACGCTATTCTGTATACATCCGCCACAGGAGAAAAGCACGAAAAGGTGAACGACTTCAAGTAAACAGGTCTCGAAGTACGTTCAGGCGTACTGCTGCAAAGTACTTGCGAGCGGTACAATGCAATTCAGCACTTCCTTCGCATGTCCACAGATACTAATTCGTCCACGCGACCATGATGTTTCGAACAAACAATCGTGGTCGTCCCCACTGGCGGAGGGTCAAACGTGGGTTGGCTCATGTCGGCGAGGTCGTGGACCTCGAGCTTGAGCCCGTTCTGCCGAGGCAGAAGTTCACAATCACAAGACCCATACCATACAAAATCAGGCGTGTGATTTACACGCGTCGCTGTCGATTGCTGGCTCAAGCTATGTGCTCTTGTTTTCGATGTGTTCCTGTAGGTACTACTGATGGTCTTCCGTCATGTGTGTCGCCTTCACTACCACTTTTAGACTAATCGACAGGTTCTTTAGTTGCTCCACGTACCAAATTTCGTCATACAACAACGATAGCGCCGTGCTGTGCATCGTAGTTGTCAATGAACCTACTTCACCCACGGGCTGCACTAGCGGCAACAGTGGGGACCACAGATGGACCAAGGAACTTTGCACACCACAAGGGGCAAAGTTAATAGTAAAGCGTCACGAAACTGAAAAGCGGACTCAACCGGAGGCGAAGATAAGCGAAAGAGAAAGAGGTGTTGAGGTCGATTCAGGTACGTGGACGCCCACTCTATCTCGTAAAATTGGATACTCAGCTGTGGGTAGTGACTCTTTGGCGTCACAATCAGACCACTGAGGTCGATCGACGGCGAGGGTAACGGACATGGCAAGTTCCAAGTGCCTCACCAGAGAGTACACGGGCAAACACTTGGGACGGAGCTTCGATGATAGTTCGTGCTTCTGACTTGTTGGTCCCTTCACTCGATCGACGACATGCTCTGTGCTGCATTCTAGATTAGGTGGACGTTGTGGTATAACTTTGTCCTGTACTCAACGAAGCTCGTGCATATGCTTAGGGGCAATATTGTCAGTACGTGGGCTACGAAGAGATCTCATGTGGTACAAGCTGCTAGCGATGGAGATCAATGCGGTAAGTTGATTGTCAGCAATGGTGTCGAGAACGATAGTTGGAATAGAGATTGTTGGCTGTATCAACGCGAACAGACAAACGCGCGCAGTAACGAAAAGCGCAACGTGTACGAGTTCTCGTAGTTTGCGTAAAAACGGTAAGGAACTTGCCATCCGTCGTATTTTGCCTATCGTACCACGCGATCAAGGTAGCTGCGTATCGTCATGGAGTGCTGCTAGACCCATTGGTGCTGTCGCAGCCACAAAGTTCGGTGAAGGTCTATTTTACACGGGATATTGTAAGGCGACTCCGAGTCAGCGCATCTCTTTGTCTGCAATGTGTTTGTTGGCCTTTACGACATCTACCTGCTCGCTCAGCTCCAGAGATAGCTTCTGTGCCTTTTTGGTCTCGCACAGTTCCTTCCTGCGATGTGATGGATAGTAATCGGCGATCAGGTCATTGTTATAGCTTTTAGATTGTCTCTCCATTTCTGCGGCGTCCAGCGTAGTGTATGGGAGAGGTGCAAGATCTACAGTCCATGATCAATCATTCATACATGGGCTATGTCGTGGCGACCTCGTGGTACGTCTTCCATTCTAAATATCCCATTGAGGCAGTTCAGGTGACCTGTCGAGGTCGAAAGTTACAGCTCTGCAAGCGGATTGCTACGAGTAAAGCTCTCTAGCGCCAACACGCTATCGTCTTGTGGTGCAAAGTTGCTGCTTATCAGTACACATGACAACTTGCTACAAAATGAAACATGGCTTTCGCTATGTCACACGTGTGCCGTAGCACTTCGTCACCGTGACGCCATAGTCCAGGCAAATTACAGGTGCAAAGGTCTTTCAGTAGTGCGATCGTAGGAACAGTGGCCACTAAACAAAGCTCGTCCAGGAGCTCCATTCATTACATCACCTACGACCTGTTGCTGCAGGTTGACAGCGAACCGCGGATTGCATTTGGTGAAGAGGATCGTACCGGTGAAAGTTGTCTCATTGCATAGTCCTCCGTCGTCACAGACTTTCAATTCGTTTGACAATTACGTGCGCGCAGAGCCAGACCGCATGACGTTCCGCTAGCCGTTTCATTCGGGACATTGCTGCTTCTTTTCATGACTTAAGGTCGCCATTGCTCTCGGCGCTAGACGTCTTACAGCAGTGAAGCTGCGAAGACCATCCACAAGATCCTGCTGCGGATATGTAGACGCTTGACAACAGCTACACATATTCATGGAGGGATGCAGTGCTTCGTGTACAGCTGCACTGGAGGCTCTAGACTTGTGCTTGCGATGCAGACCATCGTGCAGGATCCCGAGCATGATAATATCTCGAGTTCATCGCTCTCTGATGCTGCTTTCCCAGCTGCAGTCGAGTTTTACTTTCCATCGCGTGCTCGCTTTGCAGCAGGCGAGTTGAAGACTGCTGAGAAAGCGAATGGAAGCAAAAGAGAGACGCAGTGGGTCACTTGTTGCAACCGCTTGCGTGACTATTTTGTCGACAACGACGTCCCCAATACGTGCGAGACTAGGCGAGTTCAGCACACCTTGACAACAGGTAAGCGTACAAGCTGGATGAAGCCACAGTTGATGGCAAGCTACCGAGATGTACTCTACTTGTGCGACGCTACAAGCGGCAACTAGAAAGCATAGGTGCGGCATCGGTCTGTCACAAAGGGAGTGCATCGATAGCGTACGACGTGGTGCACGTGACGCTACCAAACGCCATTGTTCAAACCGCACACACAGCGGCTTTACCGCATTCATTACGCCGCAAGTTGCGACTCGCTCGTCTCCACCTCTTTCTCTCGTCTCTCCCAATGCATAACATTCTCATTCAATGACGTCCTACAGACTCTAAGAACATGTGCTACGCATCCTCAGTCCAAGTCCGACGTCTTTCGTCTTGCACCTTTCGCAGGACCGTCGTCACAGGCAATGCTTACGAGCTCACTCGATCGCATCCTCGTAATCAATGTCGCCCCTTTACCCCAACCTCCCCCCCTCTCTCTCCATTCGTCCGTCCGTCACGACAACTTCAACTCTGATTTGCATTGTATCCATCCGCTCACCCGTCCACTCACCGTCCACTCACCGTCCACTCACGCATCGTCCGCCCGTCCGCCCCGTCACCGGAGCTCCACAATACCCCGCGCAATCCATCCGGCATCTATCTCCTCCGAGCCCGTCGTCCGCTACATGGCGCTCTACGTCTGGGGCCACAACGCGTCGCAGCAGCTCGGCCTCGACGTCGCCGGCGAGCAAGTGCTCGACGTGACGCCAGTCCACGCGCTCCACGACCAAGTGATTGTCGACTTTTCCGCCGGCGCGCGCCACTCGCTCGCGCTCAATGAGTTGGGCCACGTGTTCGCGTGGGGCCGCGGCCGCGAGGGGCAACTCGGGCTCGGCGACTCCATTGGCGTCACGCGCGCCGTGTCGACGCCTCGTCGCATCACTGACGCGCTGGCTGACCACGTGGTGACGAAAGTCGCATGCGGCGACTCGCACTCTTTGGCGCTCACGGACGCAGGCGACGTCTTCCTATGGGGACTGCTCCCCGTGACCACTGCGCTGCCGTCCGCCACGGCGGACGCGTCGGACCAGCAGACAGTCGCGCTCACGGGGCTGTCTCAGGCAGACGGGCAGCCAGTGCAGGCAGAAGCGCCTGCGCGCCCGTTCGACCCCGCGGTCCTGGCTCGTCTACTGCAGTCGATGCATGTCTATGAAGCCGACGCGGCAGACGGGGCGTCCAGCACAGCGCAGACTGTGCGGGCGCCGTGTCACACCCCCCGTCTATGCACCGACGTCCGCGTGCGACATAGCGTGACGAACGTCGCCGCCGGGTTCGCCCACTCGCTCTTGACGACGCGCGACGGGGCCGTCTATAGCTGCGGCTACAATGACAATGGGCAACTGGGCCACGGCACGCGGCGCCACGCGGCCGACTTCCAGCGCATCGACGCGCTGCAGGCGTTCGTGATCGACCACATTGCGTGCGGCCAGCAGCACTCGCTCGCCAGTTCGCGGCTCGTCTCCACTGCGTCGGCGTCCGAGCGCTCGGGCGTGTGCTTTGCGTGGGGCTTTGGCGTCCTCGGGCAGCTCGGAACGGGGGCGCCGATTGCCTGGAGCCCACAGGAAGTGAAGCTCGGGCGGCCGGCCGTCGCTGTCGCGGCGGGGAGTCACCACAGCGTTGCGGTCACGGACGACGGCCGTGTGTACACGTGGGGCCACAGCGAGTACGGCCAGCACGGCGCGGGCGAGACGTTCCACGACCTCCAGCACAGCGCCCACTACTTTTACCCGCGACTGCAACAAGCGCTTGCAGACGACGCGCGTGTGCACGTGACGAGCGTGCGCTGCAGCTCGCACGCGACGTTTGCATTGACGCGCGACGGCTCCGTGTTCTCGTGGGGCTGGAACGCGTTCGGCGTCCTGGGCAACGGCAAGTACCAGCACTCGGTGCACCCGCAGCGCATCTTTGGCCTGAAGGACAACGTCGCTGTGGCCGTTGGCGCCGGCGCGAACCACTGCGCTGTGGCCGTGCGGCCACGCGGCGCGCACTACTCGTTGCGCTACGATCGAGTGCTCGCAGAGGCCGAGTTTGCCGACGTGGTGTTCATTGTTGAGACGTCGGGGTACGTCGAGCGCATCAGAGCGCATCGGGTCGTTCTGTGTGCGCGGAGCAACTACGTTCGCGGCTACTTGCGCGTGCTGGACGCGGACAGTGCCCAGAGGGCTCAGGTGGATCGACAGAGCACACACGGGAGCAGAAGAGGAGGAAAAGGAGAAGACGACGAGGAGGAGCTGGTCGAGGTGGACGTGTTCCAGGACGAGGACGCCCAAGTGGTCCGCGCTTTCTTGACGTTCTTGTACACTGGTCGTCTCGACGTTGTCAGCCACAAGCGCAAAGCGCTGGGGCAGTGTGCCCAGCGCCTGTGCTGCGACGCGCTCGTCGAGTTATGTCTCGACACGTGGCGAAGAGAGCAAACCGAGACGACGTCGCTGTCGCTGGCGTCGCGGCCGTCTTTCCGACGGAGCGGATACTGCTCGGGGGCTCACTCGGCGACGCCCGAAGCGCGACGATTTGGCGAAGAGATGCAGCGTATGGTGCTGTCGGACGCGCTTGCGGACGTTGTGTTTCTGTGGCCGGTGCACGAGACTTCGGACGGCATTGCGTACGAGCGTCTGCCGGCACATAAAGCTGTGCTGTCTCAAGTCCCGTACTTCCGCACGATGTTGACAGGTGGTTTTCGCGAAGGCGACAAGACCCGGCAAAGGACAACTGCAACTGCAACAGCTATAACAGCGACGCCGATCGACGCTGTGCATGAGATTTCGCTGCACTATATGCACCGCGACGGCGTCTCGCTTGAGGCGTTCAAGCGGTTGCTGCTCTACATCTACACGGGCAGTACCAACCGCTTGGACGGCGCTCCACTGGCGGACCCGAGCGACCTCATGGACGTGTACGTGGGTGCGAGTTTACTGGGGCTCACGGTGCTCGCCGCCAGCTGTGAGCTGCAGCTCGTGGCGCTCGTGCCGCAGCTCGATGTCGAGTCGCTGCGAGCGTGCGAAGCGTTTGCCGAGCGATACGACGCACAGCGATTGCAGAGGACGAGTGAGCAGGTGTTACGACGGATTGAGCGCTCGACCGGTTGTTGAGCCGGTGAGACGCTCTCGTGGGGTCGACAGACGCACGAGACGGACGAGGAGACAGAGAGCGACTGGGAAGGCACAACGACTCGTGGCATCATGTGCCGGTCCTGACTATGGGCTTCGCTGCTGTGCGCAGCATAGAGAGGTGAGCTATTGATCGATCAATCGATCAGTCGATTCAGCTGCTACGCAATCTGTCAGTGGATCACATTGTACGGTGTACGAGGGAACTGCTGATGTCCAGAGACACCACTTGCACTGTCACGTGGGACACATTCACACACACACACACTGACTGCACGTGCTTTTACTTGCTATGTACATACCTCGAGCCGCACCGGTCTCTTCTGGGCGCAAAACACTTGACGTCTGTTGTATCGGCGCGCGTGGGTGCACTGCCTCATGGACCTGCGCCACGTTTGACTCATCATCACGTGGCCGTGTTGACTCGAGTGTTTGACACGACGCATCGGCTGTCGCGGCCTCATACAAATCCAACAGAAGAAGAGAAGAGCACAAGCAGAAAAATGATAAGAACAAAGCGCTTGCGAGAGAGTAACCTGATAGTTGTTGGAGTGATTATGGCAGCAGCAGCAGTAGCAGCAGTGGTAGCCGTACGTGGATGAGCGCCGTCATAGATTCCGTCCGTCAGTCGATCGCTGGATTTGTTCACAGGCGGTCGCTCTCACCTGAGCAACGGCAGAAGGCCGCAGCCCATCCGAAACACGGCGTACACTGCTGCAGAAGGTGCGTGGCGTCCTGCAAGTTTTCGACTGCTTTGCTCGAGGCGGTAAGTCACGAGACAGTCGACGGACGGCAGCGCTGCTGCATCCACGTGACGACGACAATGACAATGACAACTGCGACGATCACAACACTGCGTTCGTCGGTTCACTGGGTTCATGACGCCGTCGCCATTGAAGAAAGAGACAAGAAAAAAGACGGGTCTCGTTCGCTCGGGGCGACGACACATGGACACCCCATCATCATCACCGGTGGACCAACTTACGCTGTCGTGGCCACAAGCGCCGAGCCGCGTGCCGAGTCTATCCGGACGCCACAACGCTTGGCGGACACACACACGCACACATGCGCCGTCGCAAGTCGTTCCGAGTTTGCAAAAGAGCCGCACCGAAACCAGACCGATCGCTGCACTGAATGGATATTTCGCTTGCTCTTCTGTCGTCGCGAGCGTCGTACGTCCCACGACGAGGACAGGGGCGGCCACGCCATCAACTCAAGTGGCGGGTGCCATAGATCGCGGCGCGGGAGGCCACAGCGACCGAAGGGAGAGAGACGTGCGATCGCTTTTTTTCGACTCGTTCGAGTGTCGACGTCGACCGAAACGTCGGTCGTTGAAGCAGCGCCAACCGCTTCAAGCTCTGCTTTCCACACGGTCGTGTAGGCACATAGTCACTCCGTCCGACGTCCCAGTCACACTCTCTCGTAGCTCGTCGACTACTTTACAAACGCCTCAGCTCTCTCTCTCTTCTCGTCCTCTCTTTCCCATAAAGCCTCAAATGAGTCGCCTCTCTTCCTCTCCATCGCAGCGACATACCCCTGACATCTCGTTCTCGCCGTTATCAACCACCAGCCACACTTTGTCCATTCATCTCTAGGCCGATGCAACCGTCACACAGGCAGTCTCACTTAGTGAGTCACTTGGTCACTTTGTCGTACCGACTGACAGCCTATTCCACTGCAACACCAGAGACCCCCTCAGGCCGCACGAGACCACTCTGCTTCCACTCACTCCGCCCTTCCGTCCGGCCGTCTGCCGCCTCTCTTCCACGATCGACGACACTGCGTCTCCAATCGCTCCGCCCTTCCCCACAAGTCCCCTTCTCCCCTCCAGTCTCGTTCCCCCACACACATACACACACATACACACACAGACACACACACAGATAGACACATACACATACGCACATACAGACCGACAGAGAGGGAGTGAAAAAGAGCTCGTGCAAGAGCCCCACAACGTCCGACAAGGCAGCGTCGACCAGTCTGCATTTGCCAAAGGGCTCTCGCTCCCTTCTGCTCCTATCGAGCGCCCGTGTCCCACTCGTGGTCGTGTCGGTCTTGGCGTGCGTCAATCGATCAACCTGTCCTCGTCCTCCTGTCGTACCTCCATAGTAAAAACCCACCCACCCACCCACTTACCCCCACGACCGCTTTCGTCCGCGCCGGTCATGCGCGCCCCGCACTCGGCCGCCGAAGCCAGTAAGCAGGCGCTCTTGCAGGACAATGCCAACTGCGTCGCGCACGTGCTCCAGAGCCACTTCTTCACGCGCGCGGCGTCGCCGTCCGTGTCGTCGAGTTACGAGCGCGTGGCGTCGCGGCCGCCGATCAACGTCCGGCCGTACGTGCACACGCGCGACTGCGGCGGCCGGCGCCGGTCCACGGCCGCCAGTTGCGAGGCCGTGCTCGGGACGCTGCAGGACGCAATGCACGCGCTGCACGCGGATAACACGAGCAGCTACCGCCGCGTCGAGAGCGACTTGTTTGGGGCCGACCGGCTCTTGGACGCCTGCGTGCTCGAGACGCTCGTGGCGCGGACGAAAGAGACGCCGTACCGCTACGTGGGCCTCAAGCACGTCAAGTACCAGTCGCTCGTGGGCGACGAGCGCCACGCCGAGGAGTTTCTGCTCATGGAGACGGCAGGGAAGGGCGTGCACCCGTCGTCCGGCCACAAGTTCGTCTTCAAGATGCTCCGGTCGGTCGACGTCCCCGACAAAGAGTTTGAGCTCCGGAGCGCCAATAGCCACCACGCCCAGCTGCAGGTCCACCGCGGCGCCATCCACGCGCTGCTCGTGGTCCTGGCCGAGACCGGCCACCGCGGCATCCTCAAGATGCAGCTGTGGCTCGACGTAGAGCTTACCAAGTGCGCTGAACCGTTCTACGGCGCGTTCTCGAGCCTCCACGACGCCTACAGCCTCTCGATTCGGTACCGCCACGTGGTCGAGCGGTACGCCGTGACGAGTGGCGAGACGGCGGCCGGCGCGGTCGGTCCGTCGAATGGCTGTGGCGCGGCCGCAGCGGCCGGCAAGACGTCGCGGTTTGAGCTGCTGGCGCACCGGTCGGACCGCGAGCGCAAGTGCCAGACGTGCCAGCGCGCGCTCGGCTTCTTTGCGCGCAAGAAGAACCACTTGTGCAGCGTGTGCGGCATCTTTGTGTGCTCGTCGTGCCTGTCGTCGACGTCGTTCGAGAACTGGAAGCTCTGCGGTCTGTGCTACCAGCGCAACAAGAGCTTTGTCACGCGCACGCGCGTGTCTAAGATCTCGTCGCTCGCGTCCGGCCTCGGCGAGACGCTGCAGTACATCTCGCGCATCGGCCGGAGCCACAGCCGCCAGCGCGACTCGATTCTATTTGCGACGGCCGAAGCCGCAGGTGAGTTGCCGCCGACGGCGCTGCTGCAGGACACGAAACACGGACCGACGGACCGCTGTGGTGGGGCCGCTGCGGCCGGCGGCCGGCGACGGTGTGCCGACGACGACGCGATGCTATTTGAGAACGACGTGAAGCCGCTCGCGCGGAGCGTCGTGGGCGTCCGGCGGGCGGTCCGACCGCACGCGGCGCCGGTCGACGCCGCCGGACGGAGCGGTCGGCGGCCGCTGCCACCGCCGCGCGGCAGCTCGAGCCGGAGCCGCACGGTGCTGAGCGAGTCCCATCATCACGGACGGCGTCGGGCCGCTGGCCGCAGTCGGTCGTGCGAACCGTTCGAAGACACGGGCAGCGGCCGCGGCGCGAGCGGCTCGTCGTCGGCCGACCGCACGAGCGGATCGTTCCGCACGAGTGAGCTCAGCCACACGCCAGTGCGGATCAGCACGAGGAGCAGCAGCAGCAGCACTTTCGTTGAGCCGACTGCGGACGCACTGCCGCCGTCGACCGACAGCAAACCAACGGGCGGCAGCACGACCAGTGACAGCACCACGAGCTCGGGCAGTGGCGAGCCGCAGGACAGGTCGGACGCGCCCGCGCCCGCGCCGGACCTGTTGCGGGTCGGCCCGCAGCGGGTGCCGGCGCCCGCTCCGGCACCGGCCGGATCAGTGGACCCGCCGCGGACGCACAATTACCCGCCGCGTCGGGCAAACCACTTGCACTGCGTGACGCAGAGCAGTAGCGACAGCCGCCGGTCGCGTGGGAGCACATCGTCTCGCAGCAGCCGATCTTCGTCTTCTCATCGGAGTCCGTCGCGGTCGCCGTCGCCGTCGCCCCGGCGGTCGAATGCTTTCAAGGTCTGGGCGTCGGCGTCGGCCGGTCCGCGCATGGTGACCCAGAAGAGCTCGTCGTCCAGAGGGATGTCGAAGCTCGCGGCGGACTATGACAGCCAAATGCTGTCCAATTATTGCGGGGACAGCTACGACGGACCGATCAAGCGAAGCCACAAGCCATTGTCGTCGTCGTCGTCGAACGTGTCAGCCGCCCTCGAGGATCAACCGCAGCACGGGGGTCGGCTGTACGAATGGATCTAAGGGTCTAGTAGACGGATATGAACGAGGGCGTCCAGTGGAAGACGCCCTGCTTCGACTCGTGCTTTGCTGCTCTGTGGTCGATGAGAGAGCGAGAGAGCTCTCGATCGACAGCGCACGTGGTTGCTATTTAACTCGACAGTCATTGTCAATGGATGTCACACTAGTTTTCCCCCTCACCGACAAACGTGCTGCATGCTTTGTATTGTGCAGCTTTCTTACGTGCTTGTTAGTTGATCCACTAGACTAGACGTGTTCCTGCGTGACCTGTAGAACGGTCTTACGATCCACGAGGACTTCCCCCACTTGAGCGCTCGACACAGGCTCTTCATCGACCGCTTTTCTTGGCGTTATATGTTTGCCGCTTGGACGACACCGGCCACGGGCTCTCCGTTCGTCTTCACGCGGACGCCACTCAGATACGTGATCTCTGCCGAACGCGACTCCATCATAGCCGTAAAGTCTATAGCCATATAAAAAGAGACGACAATGACAGAGGAATCAACGCGTAGGCGTACACATACATAGACACACACATGACAGCAAGAGCGAGGTAGAAGGTCAGAGAGCGTTGATAACAACAACCGCGTCGCACGGCAAAACGGCTCGTCGTACCTGGACACGTGACGTTTGGCGCGATCTCAAAGCTCGCCTTCTTCTCGGGGTTCTCGTTCGAACAGCGCAAGAAGCCGTTAGAGCACGTGACGACCATGTCGCTGCCCTCGAGCGCAATCGTGACCATGCCACGGCTTTTCATCGAGCTCATGCCAAACTTGCAACAGCCGACGCCGTTCGCCGGGCATTTCGGGTACGTGTACGACACGTCCGCCATCGACCAGCAGCATAGAGCGAGCAGCACAGCCGCCACAAGCGCACTTGGACGCGTCGCCTTTGACGTCATGTGTGGCAGTATAACAACAACAACAACAAGCGCAGCAGTGAGAACAATGAGCGCCTCGTTCTTCGTCCGTCCCGACTTGACAATGGCAGCAGACGGTCCACGCGAAACAGCACGCGCTGCAACACGCGACTTGACTCGATCCACACACTCGTGGCCAGAAAAGCGGCAGCAGCGGACAACACGACGCGTCGAGCGCAACAGGGGAAGCGCCAAGAGCATAGTGAACGCAAGTCAACGGGTAAAAGAGCTCCTCGCGGCCCACCCCACCAGCTGGTGCTGGCGAACGCCGTGTTATGTTCGTCTAGTGGGCAGTAATTGTCCGACTCTATCGGCTGTTGCTTCTTTTTTCTTCGACCGATGGCACGTCGTCCGTCACGTGGGACAGCTGACTCGATATCAAAGAGCTGCTGGGTGCAAGTCGAGCACAACACGACTTGTTTCTCGTCGCTATTGACACCTGTAACGAAGTACAGAGTACCTACTTCTCTCTCGTCTTCACTTGACCATTCCTCTCTACGCACGTAGCGCTTTCATTTGATTTATCATTGAGGCTGGCGATAGTCGACAGCAGAGACACGAACGGCAAAGAGTCGACAGAGAGAGGCTGAGAAGGTGACCGTGAGCTGCGCACGTCGTTCCGTCGAGTGTGCAATTGTTGTTGTTCGAGAGAGAGAGAGGTGTGTGCGTGCGCGTGTGTGAAACAGTAAGTGAGCGAGTGTCAGTAGTGCGAACGAGTTGCCGGCGTCTTATCGCCCGACAATGGGTTCCGTCCGACGCTTTGTCCTCGTCGCGGCCATTGCCACCGCGTCGATGGTATGTGCCGCCGGTCAAGCGGTCCCGCGTCTCCGCCATGCAGAGCCCTCCACGCACTCGATGCCAGCGGAACCGCACGGAGCAGTCGTCAAGCCACGCGACTGCCACGTGAGTGGCGTGACGCTGCGGCACCGGAGCTTGACGTACTACGACGCCAACTCGTACGTGGCGTGTTCGAACGGCGCGGCCGGGTGCTACGTCATTGAACGCGTGCACGACACAGCAACGCAAGTGGCGTGTCCGCGTGCCGACTTCCAGCGCCGCATCGACGCGGAGACGGCGGTGCGCGCCCGCGTCGCAGCGTCCGCGACGGGCGGACCGTTCGTTCCCGCGAGCGACGACGTCCACCGGCGTCGATTGTCGCTCGTTGTGGTCTCGACGACGCGCATTTGGGACGGCGGCGTCGTGTGCTACCAACTGAGTGAGGAGCTGCCGTTCGACGCGCAGCACGAGGAGTACATTTACGTGGCCATGGGCAAGTACGAGAACCACACGAACGTGCGGTTCGTCCCGACGGCCACGTGCGCGCGCGAGGCGCTGCCGTACTGCGACGCGTGTGCCAACTACGTGGACTTTAAGCACCCGACGCGCGGCCGCGACTGCAACGCGAGCATTGGCATTACAGACGACGGCGCGCAGGTCATGAACCTCGCCGAGCGCTGCTTCGAAGTGGACGACGAGCTCAAGACCGTGTACGGCTCGGCCATGCACGAGATCGGCCACAGCGTCGGCATGTACCACGAGCACCAGCACCCGAGCCGCAGTGTGGCCGTGTTCTGGGACACCGTGGAGCAGGGCCTTTGGAGCGAGCTCGCGGTCCGCGACCTCAGTGTCGGCGGCCCCTATGACCAGGACAGCGTCATGCACTACCCCATGTCGTACGGCTTTTGCCAGCCAAACTACTGCAGTCGGTCGACGACAAAGACCAACTGCGTCGACGAGGACACCAAGTTTTGCAACCTCAATCAGGACGACAACGACGACGACGACTGCGTGGACATAACAAAGGAATTGTGCAACAAGACCGCGACGGAAGCGATTGGCCAGCGAAAGGACCTGAGTGCGGGCGACGTGGCGGCCATTAACGAACTGTACCCGACGGCTGCGTGGCCGGCCTCGGACTCGAAGATTGGCGGCTGAGGAGGCACAACTGGTTGCTGGACGCCCGAGGCAGTGAGCCGTTCGCGGGGTGTGGTGGCCGTCGGACGTTGTCGCGTGGAGTTTGTATGTTGTTGTGCTTGTAGTTTGGTACGGTTTCGGGTGCGAGTAAAGAGGTGGAGGGTTTGATCAACATTTGTGCTGTGTCATTCGTTGTGTGTGTGTGTGTGTTTGTTTGGGTGTATTAGGCAACGGCGGCCTTGTCGTCCTGCTGTAGACTTTAACCGCGAGATGTGGGCGGGGGTCGAGGACTCGTTAGATGGCCTCGTGACTGACTGAATGTGCGTGCGTACGTACGTACGGCCTTTGGATCGTGACACAAGGAACGTGATCGATAGTGGGGGCTCGAAGAGTGCGCATACTGTATGACAACAGCGACGCTCCCATCTGTCGCTGATGGATCGATCGAGAGCGTGTCTTCAATTTCATTCATTTTTCTTCATGTAGCACCGCAACTAATGACTGCGTAGCAACAATTTGACGTTTTCCAGCTCGCAGCATGGCATGTAGAGACAGACAATGCATGTACACACTCACTTTGCCAGGCAATATGCCGCCCACGTCGCTTGATCGTTGTCGCTTCATGTCCACAGCGCGTTGCAACACCCGATCGTAAGCACATTACTTGCCCCCCCGTCAGTGGTCACGCATACACTCGTGACGTGCAGGTACCGCCCTCCTGTCTTCGTGTTCGACACCATTCTCCTCGTGCATTCGCCGCCCTCAACCACTCCCGTCGCCTGCTGTCCGATTCCGCCACAGCCCACCCGACAAAACAGCTCCTACGGGTCCATCGACTCGCGCGCAAACATCTCCTTGGCGATAATCATGCGCTGGATCTGCGACGTGCCTTCGTAGATCTGGTAAATCTTGGCGTCGCGAAAGAGTTTCTCGACGGGGTACTCAGTGTTGAACCCCGCGCCGCCAAAGATCTGCACTGCGTCCGCTGCGACTTTGTTGGCGTGGTCGCCGGCAAAGCGCTTGGCCATGGACGCGTACATGGTGTTCTTGCGGCCACAGTCAATCTCGTACGCCGCCTTGTACGTGAGCTGGCGCCCCGCTTCAATGCCCGTCGCCATGTCCGCCAGCATAAACTGGATCGCCTGGTGCTGCGCAATGGGCGCGCCCATCGTCTGGCGCTCCATCGCGTACTTGCGCGCTTCGTCGAACGCGCGACGGGCCAACCCCACGGCGCCAATCGCGACGGGCGGCCGCGTGATGTCAAACGCCTGCATGGCAATCTTAAACCCATAGCCCGGCGCGCCCAGGACGTTGGCATCCGGGACCGCCACGTCTTCAAACGTAATGCCGCGCGTGTCCGAGCACCGCTGGCCAATGTTAATCTCCTTGCGGCCAATGGTAATGCCGGGACTGTCGGCGTCGACAATGAACCCCGTGAACGCCGCGCCCGCGTTCGCGCCCGGGTCCGTCTTGGCGAGCACAAAGAACCACTTGGCCACGCCGCCGTTCGTGATCCACATCTTGGCGCCGTTCAGGACCCACTTGTCGCCGCGCTTGACCGCCGTCGTCTTGGCGCCGGCCACGTCCGAGCCCGCGCCCGGCTCCGTGACGCAGTACGCCGCTTGCACGGGCTCGTCGACAAGCCGCCCGAGATACTTTTTGTTCTGCGCGTCCGTGGCCGCGACCAGGAGCGGCGCCGTGGCCAGTCCGTTGGCCTCAATGGCGGTCGCCATGCCCGTGCAGCCGTACGCGAGCTCTTCGCCAATGATGCAGCCGTCGAGCGAGCCCAAGCCGAGGCCGCCAAACTGCTCGGGCACGTGCGTATTGACGAGCCCGAGCGCCCACGCTTTGGCAAACACGGCCTGCGGGAACTCCATGCTCTGGTCGTACTCGCGCTCGCGCGGCATCATCTCGTCGCGCGCAAACTTGCGCGCCAGCAACTGGAACTCGCGCTGGTCGTCCGAGAGCTTGAGCGAGAAGCCCGAGAGCGTCGAGTCGTCCGTGTGCTGGCTCAGGGCAAAGCCGCGCGCACGGACACTGCGCGGCACGAGGCAACGCGACTTGCGAGCGAGCGGCCACATGAGCGAGTGGGGAGTAGTAAAGTGCGGGGCGAACGACGAATGGGAAAGGGCAGCAAAGGGGAAGCGGAGATGGCGATGTGCGTGCGGAGGAGCGCGCAAAATCAGAAGTGAGTGCGCACTGGGGACCGCCCACGTTTCCTTTCGAAAAGGAAACCAGAAACCGACGTGAAGGATCCGTGCGACATGAGTGCGCATTCGGGTGCGTAAGTGAGATACTGTAGCAACTTTTCAATCATGTTGTGGGGTGTAGTGGTCGATATGCACAAAGTGTGTGCTGCCTGTCGACTTGGCTGAAGTGCCATGCAGAGAGAGGTACGTGATCGAACAGCACGACCAGCAGCGGAAGCAGTAAGGCGGAAGCAGAGGCATTAGCAGGGTGTGTTAGCAGAATACGTTAGCAAGTTGAAGTTGATGCCGCTAGTATTGCACGGTGTGGTGATAAACGTAGTGGTGTGAATGTCTCACTATTCACGTCGGTTTCTCCATCTGTCGCCAGAGGTGGTACGACGTAATCTTCTCTTCGACCGAGTGCAGGGAGACCATCACTCTGCTTCATCGCCTCACAGCAACTTCAAGTGGATTGCGCGCTTCAGACAACACTTTGACTGAGGGGGGAGGGGTACCGTCGTTTTGGATTGGATACCGCATTGCTGGATGAAGCACAATGCGGCATATCATTGGCGGAATGATAGCGGCGTCTGATTGGCTGAGGTGTTCACCGACTAAACGCCCAGCGAATGTCAGTGACAGGAATTTCTATCGCGACCCCACACGCGATCGGTACCTTCACGATGAACAACTGAGCGGCCGTTGCAATGCACATCAACAAAAGGCATGACATGTCTGCTTAGTGCTGCTGTAGTATTGCAAAACAGGGGTAGACGCCGAGTGAAGATCCAGTACAGCAGAGATAGGGGTGTGCTATTTACACTCGCCAAGTAGTAGTAATCAACGCAGTCTCACGCCTTTTCCCCACCGAGTTCAGCACACGGCCACCGCCAACACAAATGTCACGACTGACACGGCAGTTGCCTGAGACAACGCATAGCTCCTCAAGGTTTATGCTTCAGTCGGCTAAACACCCGGTCGCCACTTTCCCATACAGTTCTACCACCCAATGCACAACATGTGGTCCATCCGTCGTCATGTGCTTCGTCCGTCTTCCACCTGTGGCTCCAGTCTTGACAACACAATGCTCTGCTCGCGAACCCTTTTGCTGCCTTCTAGTAGCTGCGACCCCAAAGCACCCAGCACTTGGCTGGCTTGCCACTGATAAAGCACACGCTGTCAGCCGTTACTGGACTCTCCTCGTTCTTCTTGTACGGAATGCACAGCGTCTTGGCCGCAGCACTTGTGGCCGTGTTGTCGGCCTCTTCCTCCATGCCCATAAGAGCCAGCGACTCTTCGCGCGACTTGGTCTTGACAGTCTCCTCCCACTCCACCTCGTTGCAAAACGGAGTCAATGCCATGCACCCGTCCTGCAGCGCAGGCACAAACGCCTTCCAGTCCGTCACCTCGCGGATGTGGCTATCGCGCTCCACTGTCGCACGCTCGAGCATATCCTTCTGCACCTGCTCGAGAAGCGCTGGAATTCGAACTGCGAGCTCAGCCTCGGGAATGTCCTCTTTAACGCCGTTGTCCCGACGGACGACACGGACCTGCTGCTTGGCAATGTCCTTCGGCCCCACTTCGAAACGAAGCGGTACGCCTTTCAGTTCCCAGTAGTTGTACTTCCAGCCAGGAGTGTACCCACGACGCTTGTCCGCTTCGGCTCGCACACCTGCGCCAGACAATGTCGCCACAATCTCGTCGGCTTTGTCAAAGATCTCGTCGATCTCGTCCTGATTCTGGTACGGAATGGGCACGACAACCACCTGCGTCGGGGCGACTCGGGGCGGGAGCACGAGCCCCTTGTCGTCGCCGTGGACCATAATCATGACGCCCAGTGACCGCGTCGTAAAGCCCCACGAATTCTGCCACGGAATCAGCTTCTTGCCGTCCTCGTACTCGGCAGCAATGCCAAACATCTTGCCAAAGTTCTGGCCAAGCATGTGCGACGTGGCGGCCTGGATGCCACGTCCAGTTGCAGGGATGAAGCCCTCGATCGTCGTCGTGTAGTCGGCACCTGCAAACTTCTCCTTCTCGCTCTTGACGCCCTTGACCATCGGCACAGCCAAGAGCTCCTCGTAACAAGCCGCGTAAAAGTCCAGCACGGCACGCACTTCCTCGTCCGCCTCTTCCTTCGTCGCGTGGGCTGTATGGCCCTCTTGCCACAGGAACTCCCGTGTGCGAATGAACGGCGTCGGGTTCTTGAACTCCCACCGAACGACATTGTTCCACTGGTTGAGCTTCATCGGCAAATCGCGATGGCTACGAATCCAGTTCTTGAACGCGGGGTACATGATAGTCTCACTCGTCGGGCGAATCGCAATGGGGTCCTTCATGTCAGAACTGCCTGACTTGGTCACCCACGCCACTTCGGGCGCAAACCCTTCCAAGTGGTCCTTCTCGCGCTGGAGCTTTTCCTTGGTCACAAACATGGGAAAGTAGCAATTCTTGACGCCAATGGCCTTAATGTGGCGGTCCAAGAACTGCTGCACGCGTTCCCAGATCTCGTACGAGTACGGACGCAGGATGTAGCAGCCCGAGACGTCGTAGTAGTCGATCATCCCCGACTTCGTGATCGCGTCCGTGTACCAGTCGGCAAAATCGCCCTTCTTTGTCACTGACATGCCTTCGTTCGTCTTTTGCTCCACAGCCTTCTTCTTGCTATCTTTCTTGCCCTTGGCTGCTCCTTTGCCTCCTGATGAAGTAGCAGCAGCAGCAGCAGTAGTAGCAGTAGCGTCCTCTGCGCCCAGCGCTGCAAAGTCCACAATCACTGGCTCGTGGCCATAGTGCTTGACAAACACGAGCAGGTCCGCTGGCGTGAGACTGACCGTCCGGTCGTTGCGCAGCGGGTGGCAGTTCACCTGCGCCGCCTCGACCAGCGCCTTGTCCAGCACGAGCCGCACCTGCTGCTGCGTGTCGTGCATAACGCACAGGGGCGAGACGGCCCCTTTGACCACGTGCAGCGTCTCGCGCAGTACGTCTTCGGACGCGAAGCGCAAGTTCCACTTCGTGCCGCCGATACCGGCCGCGTGGAGCTGCGCGCCGAGTTTCTTCGTGTCAACAACAGTGGCACAGGCGGCCGTGACGAGGAAGAGCCCCTCTTTCTTGTCCTTGAACACCAAGTTCTTGGTCGAGAGGCCCGGGAGGTGCGCCAGCGCGTCCACCACGTCGCCCGTCGTGGGCAAAGCGCGGTGCTCGTGCGTCTCGAAGGCGATCGTGAGCGCTGCGAGCGCTGCCGCGACCTCGACGTCGGCCATAGATGGAGGAGAGGAGCGAACGGTCTCGAATGGGTGAGTGAGTCAATGGGTTTTGATCGATTGCTTATTGTTACTTCTTCGTTAGTACTTGTGTCTTGCTGCTTTTTTCTGTGTGGACGAGAGGGGGCGGTGGACAAAAAGAAGACGGGAGCGCGTGGCGTTGGGTTTGTGTGGTCGCCGGAGAAGTCGTGACGTGGTTTGTGGTGCTGAGCAATGATTGACCGGAGGAACCTTTGCTTGAGGTTTTTTGCGAGGATGACGGAGCGCGGTTTGAACGGGACTTGTGCACGCACAGGCAATTTGTATCGAGGGCGTGTACCACATCGCACGAGGCGGTCGGTAAGTACGCATTGGCTTGGCCCTGGTGTCGGGCGCGCCTGGTCCTACTTCAGCACCTCGTGTCGATCCAGTGCGGTAGCATTTGGCAGTTTGGCACCGCAGCACAGCTTTTGTGTGTCCACACATTGTCATTTTCCGAGCCGAGATTTCTGATGCAATGCGGTCGTCTATCGCGCAACATTACCGTTCGAGGCGTCACGCCTGCCGTTACAACAGGACGGCAAGCAGAACATAACCAGTCCATTCCTTGTGCTGGCCACGCAATTGGCCTGCACAGTGGTTGAACCGGCCACTCGTGCTGAAACGGACTGTTTCTGTTCTTACCGGTACCGGTATACCCCGAGGGATTGTCCGGCAGCTCCGGACGCCACGTACGACACGGACCCGTTCATTTCCCATTGACACGCCGAGACAACAGAGTGACCCACGGCTGTACAAGTGACGATAACGATGAACATGATGACGACGACGACGACGACATTGGCGATGATGATGACGATCGTACTCACGTGTCTACCGTCAGTTGCGCACGCACTCGACCGAGCGAACCAGTTGGACGTGGTGGGCACCGTGCGCGGCCGTTCGATTAACCTCCATTACGACGACGTGGAGGAGAACAAGCAGGAGCACAAGTGCTACGACCTCACGATTACGCGCGAGGTGGATCCAGTGTGCGCGTCGAACGGCAAGAAGTATGCGAACCCGAGCACGTATGAGTTCCACAAGTGTTTGACGTCGGCGCTGGAGGAACTGGACCTTCAAGTCGTGGACATGGAAGTCTGCCTCGACGCGGAGCTGGAAGACAACCACTATAAGTAGAAAGGGACAGCGAGCGAGGGTGGGAAGGCGGCGGGGAGAGAGAGAGAGAGAGAGAGAGAGAGAGAGAGAGAGACGAGCGAGACGAGGAACACGGGAGCGTCATGCGTTGGTCGATCGACGGCATTGCCACAAGTAGATGGGCAGTAGAGACTGCGTCGAGCGATTGGGGAAAAGAAGCTGCGACTTGTCTGAGGACTGGACGCTCTTAGGACGTAGGTAGGATATTCACCCCCTGCGCGGTCGATGGCGGCATCTCTTGCGTAGAAATCAAAGCGTCCGCATGCGTCTTAGCAGCACAACAATACGAGAGTTGTCTATTTTCTTTTGTTACTTGTCAACAGTCGTCACCGTACCTGATCCCGCCCCACGCTGCTTGAACGTAAGTGTGCACATGTGTGTATACGTGTATGTGTATGTTTGTTGGGTGGCAACGAGTGGGGTGTGTGTATACGTGTGCGCGGTATCGTACCTCGTACCGGTATGATAGACAGCCTCTCGAAAACACGCGACATGGTGCACTTCATACCGTGCCAACCTGCCACGAAGCGCATCATGCAAAAAAGAGACGTCAACGCCTTGTTTCGAGTTGTTTATTTTCTCGACAAGTGGTTCCGTACGAGTTGCTCGCACTGAAATGAACGGAAGCGCTGCGACACTTACGACTGTGGAACTTGTTGTTGTCGTCCTTTGTCGAGTTTTTCGATAGCAGTAACAACAGCAGAAACAGCAGCTGCAACAGTTGCGACTGTCCTGGAAAAGAGACTGCGCGTAATGCGGCAAGTGCACGTTCACTACCAGTGTCGATGTGAGTGCAGAGAGCAAGAGGGAGCAACAATTGCATTGACAGCGGGGCGACGACTGACGAGCCCATTTGTGCATCGAACGGGGTGCAGTATGTGAACAACGACGACGTGTTTGAGTTCCATAAGTGCCTGATCCAAGCAACGTAAAGCGAGACGATCGAACTAGTCGACCTGAACGTCTGCGCGCAAAAGGTTGCAAGAAGATAACGAGCATCAATGTGGCCCGTGACATTAACGACATGTCGTGATAGCTTTGGTAGGAAGCGAATGTAGATAGGATTGTTAGTAAGAAGCGAAAACGACAGTTTGTACTTGATCCCTTGTCATGCTTTGGTCTCTGAGCAGTGACTTGGCAACGCCATAGCTGTAGCAGAAAGTTACATTGATTTGCAACAAGTGTAAATGTCAGGTGCAGAAAACAAGTGTGTGCGTCGGTGTGGACTCGTCTGCTCTACAGCAGCAGCAGCAGATCTGGACGAGCTTTTTCGATCGAATGAGCACTTCTTGCCCATAGTTCGACGCGAAGACACGACATTAATGCTGTTCTTTCCAGCTCCGTATTCGAAGTATGAGCTGCTGAACCACTTTTTCCGCTGTTAGAGGGTCTAGACTGCAAATGGACGTCCATTGTCTGGCATGAAGTAGACAGCTTTTGATAAGGTGGCGAGTACTTGTGGAGTCGACGCCAATCACGCACGTCCATTCGCGTGTGCGCAAGACGTGTCATGCCGATCGTTTGTTGTTGTTGATAGCCTACGGCAGTAATGCTTTGCTCTCTCGCAACTTGTCTTTACCGTCAACGAGCAGTGTAGTTGTCGTTCATGAGCTTTGCAACCTCATCCGTTCGCGTAGTTCTTACTCGCATGGCCGCCAATTCGAGACCTGAAAAGTGAATGTCGTGTACAAGTTGCAATAGGAGCTTTGGGTACGACTGCTTGGTACACAACACCGTCCTGAACATACCTTCGTTCGTGCTTACATAACTTACCAGCCTGACAGCATTGTCCACACATTACTAACGAGTCTTTGTGTGGACAACGCTGTCAGGTAAGTAAGCTCGGATTTCTCCTCATGCACGTACCACTATTCGTGTCGTCAATAAGTTAGTGGAGACCATAATGACGTTCAGCAGCGCATGGTACGCGTCATGTTGCATACAAAGCTCGATATGATAGGAGACGATAGATACGTGTCAAACAGATACGTAAGCGAATGAGATAGTGACGGGATTAATGCAATACACAGCATACTTCGCTAGTGGCGATATGTTTACGATACGTTCCTCGACTGTCTAGACATTAACGCAGTTGTCGTGTCGGTGTAGCACTTGTCACTGCAAAGCAATTCTCTTCCAATGCTGGCGTTATGCTGGAAGCCACTACGCATACTTCTTGGTGCTGCCTTATTTCTCTGTCTTTATTTGCAGGTCACAGCCACTGAGCACGCACACTTCTTCTTCTGGTAAGTGATTCGTCTTCTTGCAAACGCCATCGAATCTAGAGTAGATCAGCAGGAACACCAGAGCAAAGTGCTGCTATACCTCTCTGAGCTGTTACAGCTGCTTAGTCCAGTGCAAGCTTTTGCTGCCGATGTTGAAAAACCAGTGTTGTCCATTTGCGCGCAAGACATATGCTCCACGATGCTTGTGACTGGGCTCGTCATGTTCTACAGCATTGACCCGATGAGAGTCGGCCACTTCTTGGCAGACAGCTCGAGACGAGTGCACTTCGTCGACTTGTCCTGCTCCGAAATAGGAACAAGAGATCTTCAGGAAACAGCGGTGCACTCGCGTCGATCGCATTTGTTAGCACCCAACCGCAATCAGAACGTTAGACCTGTCACCGCTTCTCCGTCAACATCGAACAAAATTCATCCGATTGCTGCTGTGCCCGACGTCGACGCCTACAGTCAACACCGAATAAAGTTAGCCGAAAGAGTTGTTACAAGATGGACCTCACGGTTGTACTCGTTGTGGTGATCACCTGCTTTCGAAAGACACCATCGCGTTTTCCTCGCGACAGCCTTCTCTTCAAAACATTTGTGGTCATCATCGCAGCTACAAGTGCATCGTTCACAGCGAATGACCCCAGTGGCTTATTGACAGCAACAGGCTGAACTATCGCACGCAGCACCTTCCACACGGTACTTTTCGATCCGACCACAAGTGAGCGCGAGCGACTGACTCCACGCTGCAAACAGCGATCCAGATACTTTCTGCTTATGTACGTGATACAAGCGCCGTGTGCAGAAGAAAACATGCTGTCACTTGCTTTGATATTGACGCATGTCCAGCGGTCGGCTGCACGATCCGAGTGCCAATGTGCTACAAAACAGCGGACGGACACGCAATCGCAGCAGAAATACCGTCCTGCAGCTGCTGTCGCCTCAATCCAGGGTCAAAGTTGTCGTCGTAGATGATGCCGGGAGGGAGAGCGAAGACGACGACCTGTGCTTGTGCTTTGCTACTTCATCTTCTGGCTGCTGTATCACCAACGGCACAACAACTCCAGCAGCAGCATGTCAAAAGTCACAGCGATCGACCTCGACCTTTTGGCCACCGCGTCTTCGATTGCGTTCGCCTTGTTATGATTGACATGAGCTTGATGTGTGTCGTTTCGGATGGAGCGCAATGGTGGCAAGATCTACACAGAAAAGATAGCGGATACCATCGTGCCAAAGTCATCGGCTTCATACAGATCCGTCGTGATGACGCACTGACCGCATAATCGCGGCTTAGATCAGTTGACGCCTTTGATCTTTCTCCTGTTGGCAAAGACAACAGCAATGTCCAGCGATTTGCAACTGCGTGAGGCATTCAACAAATTGATTTCCTTTGACGTCAGTCATTTGGTCATGAGCAGGTCATATGTCCTATTCACCACTCCGTGCAACGATCCAAGCAATGACTCTTCAACCCTTGAACCACAAAGAGATCCCACAAAGCATTCTTTGTTCTGCCAGCAGCAACTAGTGAGCGCACGAGGTCAGGGCACCGTTGCTCGATGTGGTTGATGCAGTAGTTGACGTCGACGCGATGAGCGAGCGCACAAGGTCTGGATACTGCTGCTCAATCTGTTCGGCGCACTGGTTGACGTTGAAGCATACGGAGCTAATCCGAGTATCGAAAGCAGCAAACACCTCGTCTTCCGTGTTCTCAAACTCGAGAAAACCCAGCTGCTGATCGATGCTGCCCTTCATGCGGTCTTCACCAATCATTGTAGCAGCGACGCGCTCCGCGTTCACCGGTTCGATCTCAAGCAGTTTGCCCAGCTCTTCAAGTGAGATGCTGCTGTAAACACGACTCGCAGCCAGCAGATTGTGCTCAAGGAAGGCATTCTCGAGCACCGTAAAGCCGTTGGACAACACTGCTTTCTGATGCGGCAGCAAACTTTGTTCAAACTGCACAAGCTCCGGCCGACGAATCAGCTGCTCCATGTACATTTTCTCCAGAATCGCCACATGTTCACTGTTCTTCACGCGTTCGTCCTTGTACAGCGTGCCGAGAAGACGCGATCGCTGCGGGCCCGCAGGAGCCAAGATAGCGCACGTGACGGCCTTGCTCAGGAGCTCCAACAAGTCGTCCGGGTCCACTTCATCCGGCTTGGACTGCGAGAACTCGTAATAGCGCAGTGCTGCATCGAGGAACTTGCGCTTCGAGTCGAGAATCCGGGCGTACGAGACCTGAAAGCGCAGCCGAAGCGCCCAGTCGTCCACGTTATGGATAAAGCGCGAAGCGCGATTGATAAAGTTCTCTGCGTCCACGGTCTCGTCTTCTTGTAGATACAGCTCAGCAATCTTGACGTACTTCTCAATCTTCTCGACGTCCGTGTACTGACGCGTCGAGCTCTCGAGATTGATGGCAGCCAGCGCCTTTGCAGCTTCAATGTACTCTTCTTCGTCCATGTACATAGCTGCAAGCGACTCGCGAAACATGACGTCAGGCTCCTCGAACGACAGGATGCGGGACTTGATCTTTGCGAGGCAGAAGCAGATGAACTCGAGTTTCCACGAGTGGACGTCCACGTCAATTGCTGCAACGACTGATGCCAAGTGGGTGATCACCTGCAACAAAGAAGAGAGCTTGTAAGTGGTTAAGTGCTTGTGGAGAAGTTGAGTAGCGGTAACGACGTACAGCACGCGAGATCACGAGCGGCACATCTTCTCCCAGCACTGTACGATACACCGATCCGATTAGAGCTCGGTTTGTAAATGTACTGACATAGCAGCAATCGATCTACTTACAATGCGTGACAATCGTCTTGAGTGTCGTCACGTCATGTAAATGCTCTTCCAATACCGTCTGCGAATGGTAAATCAGTGCATTAGAACTCACGGTGATTCATATCAGTACATGATGCATCGCACCTTGTACGCGGCCGTTTTTTCCTTTTGGTCGGCGATATGCGATATCTGCGCCACAGGGTATGCATTACGCGCACCTACGAGCGATCAGAGGATTCTCTTGTACATAGCACATCGTGCAAGCGCCTTATTAGGCTCTGTATGAAGCCACACGTACGCGCTGAAGCTCGGCGTCGATCATGATCCTCTGTACGTTTTGTGCCTGACGAGATACTTCGTATCAGTACATTTAACTCCCAATCGGATCACCGTATTGCATTCACACGATTTCTTTTTTGTCAAAAATAAGAGGACAGAAAGTATAAACGGAGTATTTCGTATGCGCACAATACGAACATACGTCGACTTGAAGCGTGACCCCATGACCTATAACATGGGGAATGCAAATAAGCTTATAAGTGCATTGAGGGACCTGGTCTCTAATCATCGAAAGCATTTTTACAATCGCTATACCTGAGGGACCGATGCGTGTGTGCAGTTTACGTTCTGCGCGAAATGTCGTGCCAATAAGTCTCACATGCAGTCCTTAGATCTTTAGTTTTTCGTCCTCTCAAGACATGTTCAAGTACAAGTTAAGCTTTGCGATCGTCAGCTCTTGCTTGATGAACGACAAATCTTCAGTCAGCGCCCGCCGCATGAGTGCATTGTGTCGTCTTACAGGCACTCTGCGCTACATCTGGTCGGTAGTCTTTCTGATAAGACGTTGCTCAACAACTATTGGTGTTATGGCCAAAACTCGCGCGATCCCAATCGCTACTTTCTCGTTCCTGTTGTTGCCTCACTTGTACTCTCCACTTGACTGCATCATCATCGATCGATCCTGTACTACAAACACTATCGTTCTTGTCGTACATGCTGAGCGGCCTCACAGCTCTCCATATTGCAGCCAATGTGCAATCAGCTACCACAAGATTTTCTGATTGCTTCCCATCTCTCTTGCTCTACAAGTGTCCTGTTCACTCGAAGTTTGCTGTTGTCATCAACGTCACGAGATTCCGTGTTTACTGAGTCTATACACAACCTTTGATCGAGTAGGTGTCGACAACACACGACCACGATATGTGCAACAAGCTGAAATCCTGTACATTTATCGGCAAATGTGAGATCAAGCTACTCTTCATACAACGTTTATAATCTAATCTATAGGCACGTGAAAGACAAAGTTGTAAGCGACAAGACATGAGCAGCGGTAGCATCAAAGACGTAAGGGCATTCTTCCGTCGAAAGCAGAACAAATTTGCGACCCTTCGACATGCGAGTGACCAAGTCCAACATGTCGGCTACTTCTTCAGGTAACGTCGAAAAGTGTGAACGCATTACGATCGCTATCGGACAACTCGGTCTCACATCCCCAGTAGACGACACGAGAAACACACGGCACCATGAAGTGTAAAAAATATATAGACAAACAGACACAAGACGACAAACCGCAAACAAACTTGGAAGCTGGCATTCTCTCACTCGTGCCCCCCACTCCCTTCCAGTCCGTTACGCTGCGCGTGATACATCATGCATCAAAAGAGAGAAAGACAGACGGATGGACAGCTGCGTCGCAAGCGAGAGCAGCGACAAAGGACGCCAAGTCAGCTTGAAAATACTCGATATCCACATAGTCCCTCTTCTTCTTCTGTATACAAGATGGCAAACTCACTCACACTTACTTCCCTCGGTCTCGGCTCGTTCGACAAACTCGGTCTCCCAATGTCTCATTCTTTGCTTGCAACCACCGCTTTTCGTTTGAGACACAGCACTTCCAACAGTACCGACACAATTCTAATCTCGGCTCGCCTTCCCGCCCTCTGTATCTCTCTCTCTCTCTCTTTCTCTCTCTTGCTCTTCTTACAGGGCCGAGTTCTTGTCAATGGTAAAAATGTCGCCCTCCGCTTTCTTCGACCTACTGCTCCGTCGCTTCATGTACACGGCACCCACAATCGCCAGAGCGACACAAGCCACACCGGCAGCAATGAATGGCGTAAAACTCATCGACGCCGTCTTGGGGTCGTCACTCGACTTAAAGCTCACCGCCTCAGCACTCAGAGCATTCTGCTCGACAGTGTTTTCAGTGTCTTTGCTGCCGCCGGTTGACGCAGTGGCAGTGGTGTCGTCGGGAACAAGAGCATCGTCAGCCGACGGCAATATAGTTAGCACAGAACCCGAGCCCGGCGAATCCTCCTGCTCCTGCTCCTCGCCCGTAGCAGAAGCTGGCGAATCCAGAGAGGAAGAAGTCAAGTCGGTACCCGTCTCGGTGCCTTCTCCTTTTTCACCACCAATGTCAGGAAGCGTCTCGCTGCCGAGGTCCTGCTCATCCGTCCCAGTGCTACCAGCTAACGAGAACTCTTGACTGCAAGAAGAATCATCCTGGCCAGCAATGTCAAGCTCTTCATCGCAGTCCGAGCCAGCAATGTCGAGCTCCTCAATGCAGTCCGAGCCAGCAATGTCGAGCTCTTCATCGCAGTCCGAGCCAGCAATGTCCAGCTCTTCATCGCAGTCCGAGTCGGCAATGTCCAGCTCCTCCGTGCAGTCCGAACCAGCGATGTCGAGCTCTTCCGAGCAGTCCGAGCCAGCATCGTCGTCACCACCCGTCGCTACAGGAGGTTGTCCTTTCGTTGCACTGTCATCGATCGGGTCTGTAAAGAGGCACAACAAGAATGTCAGGAGATTGTTGGCATCACATTCAACAAGTCAACGTCAAGCAAACGTACCAGGCGTTTCCGCACCACCACCCGTAGCATCAGGCAACTCTTCGGCGCCTTCAACAGCCAGACTTGGGCTTGGCTTCTCGCCCTCTCCGCTTTCAATCGGATCCTCTTCAACGTCTGGAGCTTCTTCACCACCGCCAATACCCGCGCCTATCTCTTTGCCTTCTCCGCTCTCACTCGGCAGCTCTTCGACTTCAGTAAGCTTTTCATCTTCAGTTTCGTTATCAACTAAGCCTTCAACCGCAGGTTTAACGACACCATCGTCACCACCAGGCGACGCATTGGTTTCTTCTTCGGATTCGACCGGTTCCGTAGCAGACTCACTGGCCCCAGTGCCTTCATCTTCCATCAAATCGCCTCCAGCGTCACCACCCTTCTCAGCCGTTGGGTCAGATTCAGGCTCAGTGTTTTGCAAGAAGACCTCCTTCTCATCGCCAGCAGGCGTCCCACCGTCACCGCCCGTCTCAACATCAGGAGTTTCGACTTCCGTAGCACCGCCATCGATCGGACTTGCAGCACCGCCGTCACCGGCCTCAACTGGACTAGAGCCACCGCCCGTCTCGATCGTCTCTTCAGTACCACCGCCCGTCTCAATCGTCTCTTCACCACCGCCGGTCTCGATCGTCTCTTCAGTGCCGCCGCCACCGCCGGTCTCGGGCGTCTCTTTAGCGCCGCCATCGACCGGCTCGACACCGCCATCGATCGGCTCGTCACCCTCCGTTCCAGCAATGTCCAGCTCCTCACTGCAGTCCGAGCCGGCAATGTCGAGCTCTTCATCGCAGTCCGAGCCAGCAATGTCCAGCTCTTCATCGCAGTCCGAGTCGGCAATGTCGAGCTCTTCACTGCAGTCCGAGTCGGCAATGTCGAGCTCTTCACTGCAGTCCGAGTCGGCAATCTCTAGCTCTTCATTGCAGTCCGAGGCCTCCCCAGCCTCGTCGTCACCACTTCCAGCCGCGAGCTCAAACTCCTCACTGCACGACGCTGAGCCCGTGTCTCCAGTCACGTCCGGCTCCGGCAACACTCCCCCAGCGACGTCGCCTTCTGCACTGCCGCTCAAGCTCAGCGTGTCCAGCCCGCTAGCCGCGTCCCCACCCTTGACCCCCGTCAAGTCCGCTGTCGGGTCTTCCGGGAGCTCCTCGAGCGACTCCGTCGCCGCCGACGACGTCCCGGTCGAGATGTCGTCCTGGGTCACCACATCTTCCGTGGCCGGCGACCCCGCGCCCGTGTCGTCGACGCCCGACGTGGCAAAGTCAATTGCGTGCACCTGCTGCGCGGCACAGAGCAGCGCTGCTGCAATAACGAGACGCGTTGGGACTTTCATACTTGTCCCACGTCTCTCCTACTCAGTCGAACACAAGTCGCGTCTACGAGACGTCGCGACGTGTTCTATCTGCTGTTTCGTGTTTTTCTTTTTCTTTTTCGTTCAATCGCTCCGACTGTCTCTCTCTCTCTCTCTGTGTCTCGTGCTCGATATGCAACGGGTTTGAGGGGGGAGCGCGCTCGCGATTGCTCGAAAGTGGTCCAATTGAAGAGTGAGCAGAAAGAAGCTGTGGATTGGCGCACGGCCTTTTCGGCCTATTTGGGCTCTTTGGGCCGGCGCTGGTACAGAGAGTCAGCCGACCAGTCTCAGCCGCTCAGTTGCCCACTGGCCACCAGCTGGTGCGGGCGAACACACGACTTGTCGTCCGTGGCGTTCGAGGGTAGGTCTTGCTCGGGGTTGTACTTGGTCGCAATGTGCTTGCTGACGATCAGGAGGCTGATGGTCGCGATGGTGATGCTCGCGCGTAGTCGCGTCGTGACCGCGTGTCGCTGCTCTATGGAGTTCGCTCAGCGCTTGGACCGCCTGCTTGCAAGCCGAGTTTCAGTCAGACCCGAGGGCGCGTCGCGCGGCGGCTGGTGGCGGCGAAAATGTGCGATTAGATTCATGGGATTCACTTGCGGGCAACGGCACAGTCGCGACGGCGAAATGCGGCTGGCAGTGGCAGTGGCAGTGGCGTTGTCATTGTCTACTCGCGATGGAACGCGCGCAGCGTCGACGAGAGAGAGAGAGAGAGAGAGAGAGAGAGAGAGAGAAAGAAAGAGATTTCGTTGCGATCCGCAGCGTCTCAAACTTTGACGGACAAACTAACAACAACAACAGCAATGTACAAAGAATGCAGTGGTTGCCAAGCGCATCTCGGCCTGCGAACAAGCCCACTGCATGTCGCATCGATCGCAGATCAACAGCAGAGGAACAAGAACATGCCAGTCGCAATTGACGACGATGCTGCTGCTGCTGTTATTCCCACAACTTCTTCTTCTACTACTACTACTACTACTACTACTACTACTACTACTACTACTACTACTACTACTACTACTACTACTACTACTACTACTACTACTACTACTACTACTACTACTACTACTACTACTACTACTACTCCTGCTTCTGCTACTTGTGGTCGTATCGCATTCAGTGAACGAGTCAATTGACTGTATCAGTAGATGAGGGATACGTGATCTACGCACTCGCGTACGAAGAGCGTGTGGCTGTACAATTAGACTTAGGCTTCTCAGTCAATATACGTTGTCATGCTGTAGGTCTCCTCCTATTGTCTCAACTAACGCCGTCTTCTGTGGCCGCGTCGTCCCTTGTCCACATTCAATTGCAACTGCCGACGTCCAGCGAGAGTTTGACTCGTCGTCATAGCTTCACTCGACGCGATACTTACGAGCTATGACGACGCGTTGAGATGGAACGGCAGCAAGTGCCTCGTTGCGCCAACCATTTCGTCACCTCTTAGTGACGCTCGACTCGCGTGCGGCCACTAGTGTCAGCTCACCACGCCAAAAGCTCGTGGCTGGACGATGGTCAGCCAGAGATGTGGGCGTCGCCGCCTGCTGTTACGCGCAGTACAATCGTTGCGGCTGAATTATTTGCCAGCCTTTGCGCGGTAGAAGACACACGGCGACGCGACCGTCTTTACGTACGCTGCATTAGTCACAAGCAACGCGACGTCGCGACTCGACAAATTTCTGGAAACCATCGGGTGGGTGCGTGGGTGGGTAAATGCGCAGATATGCCGCTTTGGCAATTCGACAGAGATCTCTTCTGCATCGGCAAGCAGCGACATGTACGTCCCGCTGGAACGTCACAGCACCGGAGACACGAAGGTGAGGCCATCGACAATGATCGCTCGAGGGAAACGCAATGGCTCATCGATCCAAGTAGCTTCCTCTGTGTCTTTCTTTACGTGAGACTTGCAGTGGCGTACAGTGCAGAGAGGCAAAGGGGGCAGTCAGTGGTCGCAAGCGCTTGTTCGATGGCAAAGGGGCGTGCGTTGTTGCTACCGTCTGAGGCCCCTGCCCGTCGCTGTCGTAAACAATGCGTGCGCTGCTTTCTCTCAAAAATCGACGACGGCCATCTGCTCCTGCGGCTGCATTGTCTCGCGGTCCTGGAGATGTGCACAGACGGGATGCACTTGCCCGCGCGCGCAGCCCTCGGCTCTGCACAGACCGAACCCAAGAAGCAGTTCACGCGGAGATGACGGGCGTCTAGGGATCGCGAGAGTGGGCAACGTACCCACATTCCAATTCGACCGCGTGAACCCTCTTGTCTATCTATCTATCTGTCTATCTGTCAATCTGTCTATCTGCGTGTCTACTTCGTTATCGGAGAGAGCGTTGTCGTTGGCACTCGTTTGACGACGACGAACGGGTGTTTACAAGTAGGTGTGTGTGTGTACGTACCTCTGCATCTGTTGTGCGCCATCGCTCGCGGCCACAGCGTTCAAACTGCATGGTCGGATGACGGCTCCTGCTGCTCGTGAGCACTGTCAGCCACGAGCTCCGCATGACTTCAACGTGGACTACTACATCGCACGTCTGCACTGTCGGGTGGGTGTCCTGGGTGCGACCAGGACGCCACATCTTGTCAGACTGCATTTGCGCTGGTCAGGAGCCGGTGGAACAGTAGCGTCAGCGCAGTGGCTGCCGAACACACACTCCTTGCGCCATCGCTGCTGTCAAGCAGGCGACGTGGTCGATGGGTGATAGACAGTATCCAGAATGATTAGGATCGACGGAGCGTCCCACTAGGGCGGGAAGCTCCTGCAAATATCCGGTCCAGCGCGATATGACGTACCCACATAAGGAACGGGACAAGAGGAGGGCTACGCAGCAGTAGTAGCACCGAAAGAAGAGCTGTGAGAGACAGCTCGCGATCGTGTGCATGCCAACTTTTCGACTGCTACTGGTCGAGGGACAACGTCTCGATTCGTCGTTGACTGTGTGTTGGCCAGTCGAGTCATTTACTCGTTCACTAGTGCGTCGCGTAGTCTTGTGTAGGCAAAGCCAAGAGCCTGATGGGGTCTCGTGCAAAAGACGCTGTCCTTATGCACGATGGGGCTACAGCACCACACACACGTAAGAGTAGTGATGCCCTACGCGTGTCTGGTAGACTGCACTGTCGCAATCAGGATCAAATATGTCGTGAATAGCCGCAGGACGATTGACTCGCCCTTGCTGACGCTTTGCGCGTACCGACATGGGTAATGTCGGCGTCTACGCTCGGCGTCTATGCAGAACGTCTCAAGTAAGGTGTACATGCTTGTAACTCTTCGAGTAGTTTCCATGACCCGATCATACTTCTGCTGACATGATGTACCTCTCTGATCATACTATCTGTACACTTGCATTAGTAAAAAGTGAAGGAGAGTCAAACAAGCAGCTATGAACGCCAGTGCTTCGCAGACCGGAACACCGACAGTGAGGCTCGTGTCGATGAAGGCGTCCACGCGGTCGAGTGTCGATAAACAGTTCCTGATGCAATACAACGCACGGTTTGCTGGCAATGACTTGCGTATCACGTAGCTACAGCAGCTGCTTTTCGAGCTGGAACTGGACCCATGTGCTGATGTTGCCTGGTCATCTTTTTCGTGAACGTGAGAGCGGTTTTACAGACACGAGCTTAACAGTGGACGCTGAGGTCTCGCGAGCACTTCAGTGTTCTTACCAGCGCCCGCCTCTCTCGTCGACAGAATCGGAGCCATTGGTCGAGTAGAGGCGCCCCACCACACGACTCGCACTGCGCTCGCAAGCGTAGTGATGATGGCACCGACATTCTGCTAGGAAACGGCTGGCACTGGTAATCGACATAGCTCTTTGTCGTCTCCGCTTTGCGCGGCATGACGAGCCCGACACAATTACACGACAGTTGCAACGGCGCCACGCTGCCGTCATTGTGTTGCACCGCCGACGCCGACACAATTTACCGTCGTACACGTGGTATGTAAGGCACACGATGGCATCCTCAGGACGCAGGAGCATTGCGCCATCGTCTCAAGTTTGCGAGTGCAGAAAGCAACTTACTAAGTACTTCCTCGTTTATTGTCGGCTACCGCATGTCAAGCCCTCGCATGCACAGGTTGACGACGACGAGAGGAGCACGGAATTAGAGAGCAGTGTACGTGAGGCGGCGTTACGTAGGGAATATGGCTGCATTACTTGGACTATAGCAGGGGGAGCAGCCGTACAAGTGAGGGCGAGTAAGTGGAATTGTTTAGCGAAATTTATGAAACGCTACTAAATTGACGTATACTCCTTAGCTCTTGGCTATGGAATGCATGCAACGAGACCGCAGAGCTGGAAAAGTCACCTCGTCAAGTACAAAGAAGTCATGAAATGTGACAGATGTAACGGGGCCGCCGTTGCTTGACTCTAGCATCAGAATATTGTCAATGTCAATGTACGCAATATCTGATACATTCGCTGATATTACCGTTAAGAGTAGATATTTTCGGAAACGAAGGCTGATAGTCATCACAAGGGTTGCTGTCGGCCTTAGTAACAATCGATTTCCATCACTCAAAAAACAATCACGCAAGGAATGATGAGCAGATATTTACAGTACATATATACATCTGATATAGGGTGTAGCAGAGCTACACAGCTCCTTAAGTCAGAGAAAGACTTAGCGCTCTTACGAGCAACTTTGGTTCAACGAACCCGACTCAAAGAGTCAACAGCTCCGAGAGCTAAAAGGTGGTCCAAAGAACCCGACTCAAAGTGTCAACAAGCTCAAAGAGCTTACGGTCCCTGTTCCAGGGGGACCAAACGATTCAAAGAATCAATCGCACTAAGTGCACAAGGAGTAGCTGCCTTAGCAAGGCGTTGCTACTTGCTTACAATCACAAGACGTGTAGCGGAGCTACACAGCTCCTTAAGTCAGAGGAAGACTTAACGCTCTTACGAGCAACTTTGGTTCTACGAACCCGACTCAGAGAGTCAACAAGCTCAGAGAGCTTACGGTCCCCGTTCCTAAGGGACCAAACGATTGAA